TCAGGATATTATATTTTCAGAAAATTCTTGTAGAATATTTTACATATGAACGAAATCTGAACCTTTTCTATAATTATTATTATTATTATTATTATTATTATTATCATTATCATCATGATTATTCAATATTGATATTGCTGTTGATAATGAGGAATTAAAAGTTTTGCTTTAAATATATTGAAATCATTATACCCAATGCTTCGAGCACCACATTAATTCCTTTATTAATTATTAAAACAGTTTAACATTTAATTGATTAAATCCCACCACTTCATCAGTCATTTTTTTGCTCATTTTAATTCAGGCTGACAGCGCTATACAAATTCTGAACGACACAATAAAACATAACAAAAAGTGGTTTCATGTTTTTGCTGGTTACTACCTTTTCCAGTACTAAACAAAATTGTGTTTTCGTAATGTAGAGTCACAAAATAATGAACCTCTCACTTTCCTTTCTGGAAGTCTGATACCAAGTAGTAAGAAATTCAATTATCAGTCAATCTTGCAGGTAATGCAAGTCGTGTTTGCTATTACGAGCTTTACATTTACGAAGATGGAAAAGGGATCTTATCTCGACTCAAGAGTTGTTAGGACCATCTTGATTACATGTTAACTCACTTGATCTCATCGACAAATTCACTTTCCAACTCCATCAAGCTCAACAACTATTTATGTTGGGTTTCGACGTTTTGTCAAGCTTCTTGAGAATATCACCTTGAATAGATTTTCTCACGCATTGGATGTTAGCCATGAATATCCTCAAGGCTTATCTTAATATACGTGTCTGCTCCTATTCAGTAAAATGAATAGAAACACTCATGCGATGATAATCAATAGTATCTTCAACTCATGCATCCTGGTGTATGCCATGAATTGTAGTTTAACTAATTACTGAATGAATTTATTTGACAAATTGATCATTCATCTAGATGATAATTATCTATTGAAACTATTTATTGGAGTGTGAAATATTGAAATTTCTCTTAATCAATAAGTAAAGGATCAAGAAACTAATCAATGATTGTTATATTGATCCCTTAACTTATTGATAAGGGACAAAATTATTCAAGGAGATTCATCATCAACTTGAGCTCTAGAATTTCAATGAAGACACAGATAATTATTTTAAAATCATTTAAATTTAATAACACAAAAAGAATGTTAACTATTGTGGAATTTTTCTTAAAATGCTTGTTTATTATCTTCATGAATTATTCTTCAGAAAATTAATTCTTTATTCATCTAAGACAAATATTTACTCAAAACAATGTTTATTGTATTAGAATGGTTTTTTTTTCGTTTCCCAGGGTTATCAATATTCATAAACCCGAGAGAGTACAATAAATTTGTGTATAAAATCCAACAGAGTATTCATAAATATAATAAAAAAATTTTAAATCTCATTTTTAATAAAACCAAAAGCATTTCGATTATTAATAATTATCCCATCATAAACAGCTTATTCATTATTATAATGCATATGTTTTTCGCATACATTTCAATAATTTAGAGCTACTACAGTGTGATAAAAACATCATTATTATTTTGTATTTTACTTGGGATAATGATACAGAAAATAGATGAAAAAAAAATAATGAATGCATTGGTAACAGCAGAATCTGCTATTCATGAATATCTTTTTAAAGGTTTCTTCGATGATTTGTTCAGTTGTTATAAATATGATTATATCGACTTAAAAAATGTTCATTTTTATAGAAAATAATCATGATATATATTATGCCTTGATCTATTTTCATCATAATAATTAATTTTTCCTGAATAGTATATTGTCCACCTCAATTTCCATTGTTGCATTTAATTAATGAGCTCTCTCTCTCTCATTAAACCATCTATTGATAAACCTAAAATTGGTTACTTGGAATATAAAATAAATCCTTATTAATAGAATCGATTTAGTGTTATATTCTTCAATCATACTTCGTCTATAATGATCATAATAATTAATGGATATTTCTAGGACTACATATTTTACTTCAACTTCTATTGTTGCATTTAATCAACGAGTTCTCCTTTGATTGAAATCATTTATTGGCAAACTTAAAATTGGCTTCTCTGAATATTTAATGAACTTCACTTAATAGAATCGATTTTATGATTTTCGTCAAGTCGTATTACATAGATATATCACAACATGATATCCTAGTAAAAATATTTTTTTAAAAAATGTTGTGTCTGATTTACCATAATCCAGTGTATTTTGCTTATTCTGTCAAAATAAAGCGTGAAAAATCTGTTGGAATATATTGAAGTCTAACATTTGTTCCAGTTTTTGTTTCCACGTTGATCGTTTTTGATCATTTCACTATTGAATATTTTTATTTAATAGTAATTAAAGAGAACATGTTTAATTTTATATTTTCTGCTTCAGTTTTTCCATATTTATCTATAAAATGATCTTTTTATTGCGTTGTTTACTGTGGAATCTGAAATTAACTACTTCAAACATCAATAGCATAAAAAAAAATGGCTAATTTCATGAAAAAGTAATGACTTTTAAAAAAGCCAGATGTTTATTAAAAATCAATGTTGATGTCTGAAATAACATTTTGACGTTGCTGAATATTCTGATGAAAAATGAATCATCAGAGACCAAGATCAAGTCAAAGGTTAATTTAATTAATAAAGACCACAATTTATAGCCGGATGTTAATTTTGGTACTGAATGAGAAATAATAGTTACTTTTTGGAGATCAGAAGATCATGTCGTTAAATCCGATGATATAATCGTTATGTCCACATAAAATTTATGTTGTATAATTAATGGTGATCTTAGTAATTGCTGAGTTTGCTTTTTAGAAACCGGAAATGAATCACTGACGACTTGCTCTCGCCTTTACTGAATAAAATTTATTTCCCGACTTATCCTGCGTTCATCCTACCTTTCGTATATCTTTTTGAGCACAAAATCATGAATAACATTCATGAATCATTGATAACTTTTCATTTAAATATTTTCAAATAAATTGTTGGGCTATTTTTATCTTTACATTCAAAACAATATTTCAAACACATTAACAAAAAAATTCGTCCAACTGATTAATTGATTAAATAATAAAAATATTCAATCTGAACACAATGTTGACAATAAGTCCTCATATAAATGAGTTTCGAACATAAATAAAAAATAAGAATAAAAATAAAATCTAGGTTAATTACACCGGGACTTAATGATTCTAAAGACTACCCTTTTATTTCAACTAAAGTTCTCAAAGAGTCTTTCATCACTGGAAAGTCTGTGTGAAGATAAAGTATATTGTAAAGTCAAAAACCTTAACGTCAGCAGACGTCGCAGCGAATCGACTGCTCTATTATTCTCGCACGTCTCATTTCACGTCAAATACACCCCGTGATAAGCTTGACGTTATCGACTATGCTTGGCAACTCTACACCGAAACACCAGTTGTCATGTTTTCTTGATACCAGTGATACTATCCGAGTTAAAAAAAAAACCGCTCAAATTCATCTATAAGCTGTACTGAGTCAAATGTATTTTCTAGGTTGACAGACGATTCACCAAATGCATGAACACACTGATCATAACTTTTTGAGGGATATAAATATTGGAGAAAAATATTGTGAAACATATAAAAATCTTTCAGAGATGATTTATTAATGGAATTAGGTGTGAATATCAAAACTTTATTTGGAATAATATCAGCAAGTTGTGATAAAATGTCTTTCAAACAGATCGTTGGAGAAATTCATGAGCTTCTATTAGTGTATGAAAAGTAGTTTAGCATAAACAACTTTGATGTGAAGATAATCTGTCATATTCATGGAAATTTGGAAGTGTATTAGTTAATAATTCAGCATATCGAATAAACTTTTCAATAGTATGATAAATTATACATAAAAAACATATTTCGAGTGATCTATGATCACTGATGAAAACAGTATTTAAGAAACATTTGAAAAAAACGAATCGAAAATAGTGGTGAAAAAAAAATCAGCACATGTAAAATTTTTAAATGAGAGTAATTACTCAGTAAAAAATTTCAAAGAAAGAAAAATTAAACCCATACAAATAAAACTTCGTTTTGCCTTTTGTGCTTTAACTCATGTTTTATTATGTAAAATGAGACAAAACGAGATGGTTCAAAACTTCTAGAATAATTGAAATAACTTTATGATCTCTCAAAAAAGTTATTCGAGCTCGTGTTTCACCAAGGTACATAGATAAATACAGACATGTTTCGTACATATATATACATGTCTCAGCAGACTTATGAAGAGAAATCTCAGATCATTATCTAGGTAACGAAATATATTGTCCTAACGAGACCATTATTTTCACCAAAACTTTTAAATAATAAACATCACCAGAAAAATCATTTTTCATCATCAATTTTACTCTTTTTTGGAAAATTAAAATAACAATTAGACTGTGAATAATAATTGATTCCATTTCAATGGGGTGCCAGGTAAAATAATTATTCCAAGGATTTAGCAAGTTACGGTGACAATTGAGTTACAGGAATCGATTTTCACTACAGAAACTGTGCTCAGTACAACAACAATTCCCGATGCAGTCTAGTTAATCGAAATTTTTGGAATTCTCTTTCCCCTTCGTTCGATAAAAGTCCCACCACAAAAATCGCATTATATGGCCTTCGTCGTTTATTAAATTTTCAAATGAAATTTTTCCCAATTGATTTTTTCCAAGATGACACCATAAATATTTTTCAACTTTACTCCAGCAATAAATTACTGAATGAAGGAGAATTTTCTATAAAACTAAAGCAATAATTACAACCATTATTTACTCTAGATCCACATAAGAAAAAAGTCATTTGAATAATTTTCCTCAATATTGAAGATGTAAGTTTCCAAACCAATATTATCACTATCAAAATTACCAACCATTATTCATTCTTTTCACTATCTCTTTTTTGGAAGATAATTAATAATGTCGATTAATATTACCCAAGGTGAATTAGATGAAGTCAATTGGAAATGGAAACTATTATTAATTTACTTACATGAAAAACGTCGCAAGTCTTTAGATCGCTAGCAGGTGTTCCCAAGCCGTCCCGTGAATCCACAAAATATTGGAAATACATTAAATCTTCATATGGCTCACGTACGTAGTCTGCGCTATTTTGTCCAACTGCTTCCTTTCATAGTGGAGCTGTACATACATATATATTTATGTAATTCAATTAGCCTTTAAAAAAAGTTCATATGGACTTGAATTGAAGTAATAAAACACAATATTTTCGACAACTATTTATTTGACTTATGCTTCTAAAAATAAAAAAAAAATACAGCATTGTTTTATTTTCTACTACTTGCATACGAGTATGATAACAAATTTTATCATTTTTTTTCTATAAAAAGAAAAATACTCTTCAACTTTTAGAAGAGTGAAAATGATAACATAAAATTTTATTTTAATTTTTATTCATATTTTTTTAGCTAGCAAAAACCACAAAAAAAGTAGATAGTTATTACAACAGATTAATTATTAGATAGAAAATGAGTTTTTGGAGCCACAGAATCAACTTCAAGAAAAGTCTGTACTAGTAGAATATATTTTTTCGTGGTGAATAGAGAAAGGTGAGCATTAATTGAAATGAAATATTAAGATGACAAATTGAAATGAATCTTCTACACACGATTGTGCGGGTGAAAAGTACAGTGTTTTACAAATATAAATTTCTGCCAGCGTATGATGCGATTCTCTATTTCCCATGCGAATAATACAGAAAACCCGAAGGAAAGATGTAGGGTAGTAGCATATGAATATCCGTAGGGGAAAGACTGAAAGCACTTTCAGTATGTGACACCCTAGAGTAAAGTAGTCAAACGAAAACTTACTTTCAAAAGTTGCGCGGTAAAAAATAATGTGATAACAAGTTGAAGATACGTAGTTGATTTTTTACTAAGAATGTCTGAATAATTTTATATTCATGGTTTTATTTAATTTTTTTAATTTTTCTGTTTGTAGAAAAAATATGTATAAATATTTATGATGCTTAAAAACGAATGCAAATGCAAATTATACTGAGTAATCATAATGAATTCTGTAGAGTGCTAAAACATTTATATCAATTTTCTCGAAAGTTTTTCCAAGAGTGTTAATTGTTATTGAAATGAAAATAGAGACCTAAAGAAAATTTAGGTTAATTGGATTACAATCAATGGAAACACGTGTTCAATTATTTTGAATTAACGACAACTTTATAGAATACAACCGATTATTTGATTTTATTTTTTCTAATTATTTAAATTACAGTCATCAGAGCTTGACATTTGATGATTAGCTTGTTTTCAAGAATAATTTTTTTTTTGTCTTTGAAAATGAAAATAATTTTTTTTCAATGCAAATAAAGTCTAAAATATTTTCTGGAGCTTAGAATAGAGATAAAAAAATAAATTGAAGTCGTAGCCAATGCTGTTCAAGATCCTTCGACGAATTGGAGAAGAAAAAGATATAGAAAAACTTGAAAGTTTTGGAGAGTTTTTATTGATGATTAGAAAAAAAAATTACAAAAAATTGTTGATGGAGTGAATTGAAAGTAACTTTTCTTTTAAAAGACTTGAAAAATAATAAATTTTTGGAAATTCAACAAACCAGAATCTATTTAAAAAGTAGTAAAGACGTGATATCGTCAAATGACAATAAATCTAGATTTAGTGTCGATTATATCTGTTTTTCTTTCTCACACCTCTCTTAACATATATAAAGTCGAGCACTAAAATTTTATCGGGTGGAAATCCAACTCTATAAATGTAAACTATCAATTCCCATATTGTCTACTTTGGATTAATGATATGCAATGTTTGTCTAGAATGTCAATTTAGAATCCTCATAACACTCAAATTACCAACTTCAAATTTTTTTTCATAAAATCGTTTCAATTTTTAATGAATTTAAAAAAGTTAAGAAGCAACACAAAATGATTCCTCTCTAGAGAATATGCACAACGATTGTTCAAGGTAAAATAACTAAGTACTCATAAAATATTTTTTATCATCATATTTAACCTGTTGTTTCAATATCGTTATTATCAAAAGTAATTCAGTGTCAAGAATTTTCCATTTCACAAGTATAATTTTTTTCAATCATCAAATTACTTACTGACCTGAAAATCAATTTTTCAATCTCAAAATATACACATGAACTTGTTTTAATTTTTAGATCAACAATTTTTCGAAGTTATAAAAAAAAATTTTTATTCAAAAATGAAAATTAAAATAATTTTCAACAATACAAAATTCACTCTTAAATTATATTCTCGTGTCATTTTTAACCTGTTGTCACTACTACAACATATGAATATTCCTAGGTCCTCTGGAGAATATAAAAAATTCTACTCCACAACACAAAAGCTATCCTTGAATATAACAAGTCGTGATATAATTTTTATATACAAAATTACTGTATAATAAACAACTAACAACAAATATTCATACGAACCCTTGATGTGCAGAAGTAAATGTTTTAAAAATAATTCAAAAATTCACGTGAATTTAATTATAAAAAGAAATACAGAATTTCAAATTTTAATAAAAAAATTTTTTGTATTAAATCTTTATTTAATAACTTGGTTTTGAATATGTTCAATTTAGGTATTCTGATAACAATAAAATGAAACTTGATCACAACTCACCCGCCTAATCAGAACGAGGGCTGCCGCGCGACTGAAAGCAGCATCCCTGTGCATTCCCTTCTCCATCTTGCACCCCGCTAACTCGCCCCCACTAGCGCTTCCTCCCACTTTCTCACGCTCCCTTTTCTTTGCAATTGCTGTCGCCGTCGCCGACGGGAACCACCGAAGAGTCTATCCACCACTTTTTTTTATTTTCCTTTTTTCATCGTCATACCACATAAGTCTACCATCCACTTTAGACTCCCTTGTTCCTTCCTGTCTGACATGCATACTACAAACAACAGAAACAAATAGTAAGTATGTTGTATTCAAGTGACATTATTGCCTATACCACATTTTTCATTCAACGTCTTGATCTATAAGAATATTTTTGTCTCATCAAACATTATATTTAACATCTAGAAACCATTATACAATCCTATTAAATTCGCCATCCATTTAAATATTATATTTCCTGACTATTATCATTTTTAATAGATCTATTTTTATTAATAAATGATTTCGTCTGATGAAAAATAAACATTTTTCTTCATTTCATTTCATCACACTTTTTCTATTGACATAGTGACATTTAGTTCACTTTCCAAGATTATGTTCAGACTATTGCATCCCATTAACTTGTACAAAAATCCTTTTTTACAAGTCATGTTTAAATCTTATTTTACTCTCAAGTGTATTCTATACAATTTTTTTAATAGAATAATAATCTATAAAATATTTGAATAACTTATATCAAAGGTCTACCATACATTCAAATACAGGAAAATTATGCTTTATAAAAAGATGCCATTCTTTGACAAAATATAACGTGGAATTATATTTTAAGTCATACTTAATATATTAGTGCACTAGGAATTTTATCTATAATAAACTGTGGAAAGAATGAAAAATATCTTTTAGGATTTATAGACGTTTCCTTTCGTATCTTACTGACACAATAATAATTTTTTAGATCCATAAAAATCATCTTAAATTACATATATGCAAAAAGAATAATGTTTTTATAACATTCTGAAACACAAATGGTTATCTAAGAATATCATCTCAATGTTACTGAAAATTTTAATACTGCCAATTAATTTCAACTCCATTCAAAAATATGTACACTAAAATTACAATAAAATTTTTTATTGCTAAAGATCGACTGATAAATATGCTATTTAATGCTTGATTAAGTATCCAACAGAGATTCAAGCAGTTATTGTTTTTAAAACTATTTTGTGGCCTGGTAAATAATTAATTTGTCTAGTTGAGCATAAAAAGATTTAAAAGCTAAAATATTGGTTTGATATTATTTCACAATACTACAGCTGTTGATCTATTAAATACTCTAATATCATAAATAGATAACATCTTATATCACTGTAAATCGGTATTAAAAAATGATTACTCGAAAAAAGTGAGTCATAAATTGTATTTTAAGACATATCCAAGTATTTGAACAGAAAATGACATGAGAAAAGAGTTTTAAAAATTTATTTATATCAAAATCTATCTCCATATGGATCAGTTGGGAGCGAATGGAACGGAAAAACTCGATATATGACATATGGATGTCATTTCTTTGAAAAATACGAGCTATTGTCAGGTTTTGCATACACGACTATTGAACTTTGGTATGCAGTACATCATGATGCACTCAACCATCAACTGAATTTCGTGACTATGCATCAACCTCGTTCATCTACGACTTGAAATCCCAGATAAGTAAACAATTTTGTGTATTCTCCGGCACGTTATTTGATGTCATTAAAAAAAAAAGCTAAGGAATTTGTATAAACATCTAAATTGGTAGCTAATACTTTGTTTATCTATAATTACATATCCGAACGAGTAGATAAAGTTTATGTGTGGTCAGCCGATAGAAAATAATGACTTCGTCGTAGCGAAAATTGTTCCCCAACTTTTCGACCAATAACTAACTTTCTATCTCAAATAGAATTTCAAGTTTTAATTATTTAGTTTTATGTTTCTGACATGTCTTTTATTAATTGAAAAAATAATACTTCTAACAATGATTTATGTTTTTTTTAGTTTCGATTTCAACTAAATGAAATAAAGAATTATTAATTACCAATAATAAGTTTAATTATAATGGGAGATATTGATTTTTGTGTAATACTATTAACTGGTTATCAAAAGTAGAGATTAAAAATTGAATTTGGTTAAAAGAATAAATAGAATAATTTTTCTGTCATAATGTGCTTATATCAAAATATGATTCTGTTTACAGATATCATCTTTATTTATTTTTTCGATGCTCTTCCAAAGCAGTGCAATCGATTGCTATTTAAATCCTATTTAAATTTATCTAGACGATTTATTTCTCATGAGAATAAATGAAATTGGACTCTTAGTGATGATACGAAAATAAATTGGATTTGGACTCGTCGTATAATCTGAATTTTTTAAATGTCTGAGGTGTAAATTTAAATCACACAATTCCTTTGCTCTTCATATGCTGAGTTGTCTGCCGTCAAAAGACGACAAGACAAGTTCTTGTCAGAAACAAGGACTTAGCAATCACATTGTATGAAGAATCTAGTTCACAGCTTTGGCACGAACGGTTAGACGATGTCCATTAATTATACGTACCTAGATGAGAAGCCAAAAGAAATCCGTCTCGGTCGCTCGCTCATAAGCGAGAACGGTCGTCGCGTCATATTGCGGAAAGAAGTTTCACAGCTTGCGATCAATAACCACGATATGGGGTCAGAAGAAAATCAACTTCAGTATAAACTTTATCATTGTCAAACTTTCCTCTTCGATGCTTAATGACTTGTTCTTACAGGAAAACTATTAAGTCAATCTTCACGACTATAAATACATTAATGATGCCATCTGCTAAATTGAAACAAAAAAACCAAATAAAAAAAATTACAAAATAAACATTTAAAGATGAATAAAAAAAAATAAATTAATAAATAAATTATTTTTGAAGTATTTTCCATAGGTAAGTTTATAAAAAATAAGTTAACTTTATCTAAATTTTATTTATATAACTATAACAATATTTTATTTAATTGTTACCCCGAATTATACTTAAACAATAATAATGAGTGTATAATATGTAAAAGTAGTTTAAAAATTTATGGTTGATAGTCTTTATGTACCTGTATTTAAAATTCTGCGTCAATCACAAGTGCATATATAATAATAAATTTCTTTACTAGTTCAGTAATCATTGCTCTATTGGTAATTATTGATTGTACTAATTTGTTGGATCACATTTCTCAACTGAGAGAGGTCAGACTATAAGATTCTTGATTAAATTATTTTTATAGGACAATTGTCTATCGGAATACCATTACTTTCATGATTGTTTTGGTGTTGTTTTAGTGGTAAGATACACGTATTACCCATAAAATTCATAAATTTGTGTAGCTTTCCATCCTAATTTTTGAAGAGCTCTAAAAAGAAATGATAAAATAAACATTTATGGCCATGCTTTGTCGATAATCCTGAAATATATATCAACTTACTCTTCAGCCACAGCCATAAAAGGTTTAGGACCACATGTAAAAATACAGCTCTGATTAACAGCGTCACCGATTAATTCCTTTAATAATACTTCAGACACAATTCCACGTTTTCCACTCCAACTATCATCAGCTTGTGATAAAATATGAATGACTTTCAACCTTAAAGTTAAACATAATCATGGTGTAACATTGAAATTTCTTTTGATTATTGCTTTAGATTTATAAGATTGCTTTTTACCTTTTGTCTTCGCATACTTTCGCTAACTGAGGACCATAAAAAATATTTTTCTCTTCTTTATTAAAATTTAAAAGGTTTATCGTACTCCTAAAAAATTAATATTAATTACTGCAACAATTATATCATCCATACAAAATTTATTGCCAACTTCGCAAAAAATTTAATAAAATAAATAGATAAAAATTGTGATCGAAAAAAAGCTCAACAAAAAGTTTGAAAGACTTACACATTTCGTTTGCCAAGTGCTCGTTGAATGATTCCAAGCATTGGTGTCAATCCAGTGCCGGCAGCAAGCATGTGAATGGTAGAATATTTATCATAGGACTCAACTACAAATGTTCCCAATCCACTACTTATAGAGAAGGTTTGCCCATGCTTTAGGGCTGTTACGGACGGACTTAAAGTACCTTCATTGTATTTTTTTATTATTAAACATAAACAATCTGGTGTGTATTCAGGCGGTTTGTTTGCAGGATGGAGACAAGGTGGAACTGGTGTATATGGCCTTGAAACTTCTACACCTAAAACAAGTCAAGACTATTAACAATTTCATCAAGCAAAGAATAAATAATGCAAGCATTTAATTTCGATTAAAAGTATTATTTCATTTATAAACAAAATTTATGCAATGCAAATTTATTTTATTTGATTTATGCAACAAAAGTTTAATATTTAATGATTAATACTGGTGAGGAATAAAGTTATTACCCATCACATTCATTTTTGCTTCAACATGATGGCCAACAGGAATGATTTCTAGATAATCCTTCGACTTTGTGACCAAAAGATGAACATCATCACATAGTAAAGTATTGCTGACAATTTCCCATGATCTATAACTTCGCTCAGAGTTTTTCATTTCATTAACAACAGTTCTGCTACCGTACGATTTCCACAATGATCCATTTAATTTTGTGAAAATAAATGTGGTTTCCATCGATGCAAAGTTTTGTTCCCATTTGGGTGGCCATTCAACACCTTCAGTGAGATCATACTCGTGTTTTACTATACTATTCTGTAGACAAATTTTTATGTTGAATTCCATTTCACTTTCTCGTATTAGTTGAAAACCAGGAGATTGATTTCCCGTTGTTTTATAGACAAACGAAACAGTGTTTGTAGTTTGTTTCCAATCGCTTTGAAGTTTCGGTGCCACGGTTATTGATTTTTCATTCTGTTCTAAATTTCGCACTGCAAAGAAAAATCAACATTAATAACTTTTGATTAAAATTTCAATAAACTGTGTTTAATAATAAAAACGGTTACAAAAACTTCCCTCTTTCACAAATTTATTTAAAATTATTTTTAATTTAATGGTATATCATTTAAATCCAATTACTTTTTCATGTTTTAAATAGAAAAATAATTATAAAACAAAAAAGTTAAATTAAGATTTATTTCTGAAATATCGTAAAGAATTTGGTAATAATATTAATAAATTATTCAATAGATAATACTAACCACCAACGACAAGTGGAGATAATTTAGATGTAGGTTTCTTATTATTTTCTAGAGTAGAATCAATTTCTACTGGTCCACTTCTGCTCAATCTGCCCACAATACACTTTTGTAAAATGCTCTGGTAATTAACCCACGCATGGACCTAAAATTCATGGTCTACAGATACATAAACTTACATTACTTAATGGTTTTCATGGGCAGTTTGGAAAAATTTCAGATTTTTTATACCCCACACTTACGTCTTCAAAAAGCTTCGTTGCATCTTTGCCGACACCTCTCATTAATTCATCCACACCTCCAGGGTGAAAATCCATGTATCTTGTTATATTGAACACAATACCTATCATAAATTTAAAAAATTAAGACTTTTTATTGATAAACGTATTAAATGATGAAAGGTATTTGAAATAATTATAATTTAATTATTTAATACTTTTCAAATTAAAAATACAAACTTTAGATTATTATCTGAAAGAATGATGCTATTTTCTTTTGTCAGAAAAAATAATATTACTGTAATTGACTGATTTAAAAGAATAATAACTTAAAAAAATAATAATAAAAACAAACCTCTTATTGCAATCCAAGCGTCGTTTCGTTCATTATGTTTAGCGAGCTCAGCTGGCGTGACGACTTGATAAACTCCTCCGACTCCAGTAAGATCAACACCCGAGGAACCGAGGCGAATCCAATCCATCAAACTGTGACCAGGTGCTAGAGCTGTTTTATTTCTTGGGTTACCTGAGGAAATAATATCAACATTACTATTTTATTTTTATTAGTTATTTTTTTCAACAATAAAAACTTCAGTAATTTTGTAACATTCAAGTGTCATTCAGTATGGTATTTTTAGACTAATCGATAGACGTCAGGTAAGCTGAATGTAATTTTCAGAACGCTGTAGAACGTCCAATTAACTCTTTAGTTAGCTATCAAGCTGGTATCCTCGATGGTATATTCAAGTGTTCACCAAAGCATGAATACGAATTTTCACGAAGCGAATGTGCGCATGAGAATTGAAATGTATCCGGTAACGCATTCACTAATTGATTGTTACGGTTGTTACTAACTGTCCTGAATGTGTAGCTTGAGCCTTTGCTTCTGCTGAGAGCTGTTATCCTCCATGACAGGCACAGATGATGCTCCACAGCATCGAGGCATTGTCAAAGACTGACTAACTTCATTACTAGCAATGTACAAACAAAGAGTAAAGGTCAAACACACATCCGTCCTAAGACAATTGAATTTCTGTACAAGTCTACATCACCACGTGGTTCCAGATCGATAATTGTCAGCCCAACTTCACACTTGACTCATTGATTCATCACGTCAACATATGTACACACTGCCATGCTTAAAAGTTGACTGCTATAGTAAAGATACACGAGGTATCAATACGAGCGTAAGATAGAGATAGATCAATAGGGAAACCGACTAGCTCAACACGCAGGACTTTTCTCGTCGGTATTCACACCTCCGCTCCCTTTAAATTAAACAGTTTCTCTGATAGTTAAAGGACCGGTTTATTTGCATTTGTTAATGTTTGTAAATAGATATTACTGCTTTCAGAGATTCACTAAACGTCCGGAACAAATCTCTAACATATACGTCGTGCGGAAACTAGCTATATTCCCAAGACGTTAATGAGCTGGCTATTGTTCACTTTAAAGACTGGACTCCAAATTGAAATTGATCCCTTTGAGAAAAAGTGATGTTAAACACTGTCAAAAATATTCGATATAAGACTATTTTTTTATAAAAATAATACAATACATTCAACTTTGAATTGTCAAATGTTTTTTTTTTTATTTTAACGAGTGAAATATTGGATCATTAATTATTCTTGTCAGGAAACTTTTATCAAAACAAATCTCTACTTTTATTTGATGATTATTTTATATCGACTTTATTAAATATGGAAATTAATCTTGAAAATGTTATTCCAATAAACCAAATAATAAAAATAAAATAAATGAATCGTTATTTGAGTATGATCTATTTATTTTTACTTTCACTATTTATTGCTTCACAATATTTTTCATAAAGTGAATAAAAATAGAAACATGTTCATCGATGAGTTCATTCTGATAAAAATTGGATAAAAATTTTTATTTATACTCAAATAAAGGTATTTTGTATTATTTCATACCCATGGAAAGCCTTGATATTGTTTGATAAATATATTACTGACAACGAGATAAGTTTCTTGCTATCTAATATTCTGAGTGATTCAACCTTCTTATTAATGAATTATTGTCATTATAGTGTTTTGTCATAATACTCTCATTAAAAACGGTTCGTTCGTTTTGATCTTCCGCCACTGCAAACTACCGGGTTTTAAATATACCATAATAACCTTCCTACTCTGGCATTCAAATATACCTAAAACGTGAATACTTGGCATTTTAAAAGACTTGTCCTGTCAAAGAAAAACAGTTGAATATAGAAGGAATGCAAGACACTTGTTGCCTGTTATCAAACTCAACAGGTTTGATATCTTGTGTGCTAAACCATTATTACTCTTTAGAGAGTCCAACATGTTAAAGATAGATAGGTATTGAGACAAAACTATTAGAGAGGGATGTTCAATAATGTGTTTAGATGACTCACCAGTAGCAGAACCTGTGCTAGTCATAGAGCTTTTTATTGGTCCAGATTGCACAGCAGATATCTGTTTTACACGTGCTACTCCAGTTGGCAATAAAACGGAACTCTTAGCCAAAATACTCGTAGGAGAGTCTTTTGGCTTTACCTCGACCTTTTTCATCTTTTCTGGGAGCTCATTGGCACCAATACTTTTAGATGCACATTGATCTCCTTTTTCAGAAGAGCTGTTTAAATTTATATTATCTGCAGAATCCATTCCGGTATCCGGAGGTTGTCATTGAAAAATCTTGATGACTGTCTAGAAGTATTAATATTATTCAAGTATTTTTTTTTATGATAAATTCTTTAAATAACTCTTTCCCTTTATGTTAATGCTTTTTTAATATCATTTTTTACTCTACAATGAAACCAATTTTTAACCATATTTATTTTAAAAATAATATGTTAAAAATTTGTAAAAAGTGGCAAATATATACATATAAAAATCGAACTATTTAAGTTATTTATAAAATAATATAAATATAAAAACTATTAATGTTAAAAAAAAGTTGTTTACTTTCAATTTGTCCTGTAATTTTATTTATAAATAAATAATAGCATTCCCTTGAACCACGACTAACATGTAAAGAATTACTAAATGTACGTGTTATTTGTATTACAGTTCCATTTTTTATATAATATCCAACAAACTCAAGCCATAAAAACTATTATTACGCTCATTAATGACATTTCACAAGTCAAATACCAGCTGGTATCAAGTGTTTGTTTTTGTTGATAAATAGTAAACCATTTTGCTAAAGTATTTAACCTCAAAGTTTGGTAACCGACAAGCTTTATAGAGCAGGATTTAACAATAAATGTCGATTATTTACTGAAAGTATTACGACTTCTGGAATACTTACTAATCAATTTTAAGCAGCTTAATAGCAAATCAAGTACAATAACAAAATAACTGCAGAAATTACACTTTATGAAGTGGCTAATCAACTGTCAGTGTATGAGTAAGCTTTATCTACAACATACTCTATACCTATCAGCAAATATGACAAACTGTAGCAAAACTGTGCTCTATAGTCGAGAGTATCGAACCGTTCCTTCATGAGCATCACAAGAGCATCCAGTAATCCAGTTGTACCGGTGAAAGGAGTTGATGATATTTATGGGAGTATTTTCTAATTTTTTAATAACAATAAATTGTCAAGACAGAATAGAATACATTCAAGTTGAACAACACCTGTGTCTTCATTGAATATTCAAGTGTTTTTAAAAATATTTATGTAAGTATTTACATCTTATTTTCAAGTATATATTCATAAATATGATGAGTGAATCATTCAGATGACAGCGTAACAAATTTGCTCGTAAAAAATAAACTCGTGTCAATTACTTTTTCTAAGCTACTTCCTCTGCTTTATTTAATCAATATTTATAGAGAACATTCATGAAAATTCTTAAGATATAATTAATTGAATTGACACTAAATAAAATGATAATAAAGCTGGTATTTCAAAGAAATCCTCATAAAATATTAATAAAATAGAGTATAAATCAAGTATGATCAGTTAACAATATGTAACTATTTATAAATATTTAATTAAAAAAAAATTTATTATTACTATAATTTATAAAAATTGAAGATTTATTCTGTAAAGTCACTAAATTTTTTTACTTTTTTATATAACTTATAATTAGTAAAACAGGAAAAACCTCTTATGTGATAATATACTTTTTACCAAACATTTTCAAGGATATTTTGATAATTGAACAGTCGATTATAACTACTGGTAGCATTTCGATTGATTTTGTTATTATACTATTATCAATTTATGTGAAGTAATATCTTAAAATACTAATACACTTTTCAACATCATTTGCGTTGCTGAACAATTATCTTCAAGTTGATCTCAAACATTTATTCTTTCAGATGTCGTGTAACATCAATTTTTCATGCTTTTATTAGATTTATATCTAAATATGTATTGCTATCTGATAGTCACGTATATAAAAACATACATACAATGTAAAAATAAATTATATAATCCGAAGATCAGTATAGTTAATATTCACGGCCATTTGCCAATCAATCTACCTTTTTATAGACTTTTTATGTAGCGTAGCAATTAAGTTTTAATAGTATAGCTGAACGAAAATCATTCAGCACATTAAAATTTCAGCTAATGTAAGAAAATGGCCACCAAAACAACTAACAACAGCACCAAAGTTGTAGGAAAAATACTGTCTGTCGTTCACAAACTAATTGAATATTTTGGACGATGGTTTTACCTTCTGACAACTTATTACACAGGCCGTCCAGAGCCTCTACCTCCAGCAGACAACCCGATTATTCTAATGAAGAGTTTAACTGCTCTATCCATTATGATACGACTGAAAAAAGTAAGTAATAAAATATTATCTTTCATTTTCACTTCACTACTGAAATAAATTTTTCTATCTTCCAACAAAAAGTAGTACTACTAATAACTATCATCATAATAATAATCATCATCATTTTCATTGATAGTTGAGCTCAGAGTCTGTAGTGAAAGCTTACATAGACAGGATAAGAAAGATCCAACCAGTATTAAACTGTCTTGCAGAAGACAGGTTTGAAGAGGCATTAGAAGAAGCAAGAGAATATGATCGTATCTTGAATTCATCAAATGCTCCTTCTATTGAAGAGCTGGAGAAAGAAAAACCATTCTTCGGAGTACCTTTCACAACAAAGGTAAATTAATTTTTTTTACATTCAGACCATGCTCATAAAAATACTAATTAAATATTGCAGGATTGTATTGCTATTAAAGGTATGAAACAAACAGCAGGTCTTGTTTTACGAAAAGATACAAGAGCTGAAGAAGATGCTGAAGTAATAAGACTACTAAGAAAAGCCGGAGCTATTCCATTGGCTACTACTAATGTTTCTGAACTGGCTATGTGGTGGGAAACGAGCAATTATTTATATGGCACCACAAGGAATCCCTACAATACTTGGTGAAAACTATAATTTAATTGTAATCGATTAATCGTAAACTGATTAAGAGGAATTTTAGATTTAAAATAATCTGGATAATTTATTTTAGCCACATTGTTGGAGGTTCATCAGGAGGTGAAGGATGCCTACAAGCAGCCGCTGGTGCACCTTTCGGAATAGGATCAGATATTGGTGGATCCATTCGCATGCCTTGCTTTTTTAATGGAATTTTTGGACACAAACCATCAAAAGGTTTGTAATAATAAGTCAATTATTTCAATGAAAATTGATTCGTTTAATTTCTAATACATTTGAATGAATGACTCAACTTTATGAAAGGTCTTACAATTTATCAATTTGGAAAAAAAATTTTCTCGATGAAGAGTAATAGATGTAATTAAGAACAACTATCAACTAATTGGATAATTAACAATAATTCATTTTTATTCGAAGGAATTGTGTCGAATCATGGTCAATATCCTTGCCCACATTGTGAAGAACAATATAAATTGCTTGCCATTGGACCGATGTGTCGGTATGCTGGAGATTTAAAACCTATCCTTAAAATAATTGCCGGAGAGAATGCTTCGAAATTGAATTTAGATGAAAAAGTTGATATCTCTAAACTCAAGGTTAGATCAAAAATAAAGTTTTTTTTTTTTTTAAATCGATTATTAATCGGTAAATTTTTTTTGTCATTGAATAGTTTTATTACATGGAAGATGACGGAGGCCAATATTTGGTTTCACCAGTATCAAAAGATATCAAAGAAGCGATGAATAAAGTTATATGGTATCTTACATGGAATCATAAAGTTAAAGTTGAAAAAGTACAAATAAAAAAGATGAAAAAAAGTCTTGCATTGTGGCTTGCTAATATGACTTCACCGGAGGGTAAAGATTTTGCTTATGAGTTGTCTAACCGGAAGAAAAGAATAAATATTTTTTGGGAGTTTATTAAATGGGCGACAGGAACTGGTGAACACACACTTATTGCTTTAATTACAGCAGCTTTCGAAGCATTCGGAATTAAATATAACAGTGAAGAAAGATCCAAACTGCTTCAAGAAACTCGAGATCTCAATGAAGAGTTTCGAGTGAGTATACATATTTTTATTAATATAAAAATTACATTTTATTGAAATTTGTATGTATCATTCACAGGACATGTTGGGTAAAAATGGAGTCTTTTTATATCCAACCCACCCAACGCCTGCTCCACTTCATCACGAACCACTTCTGAAGGCGTTCAATTTTTCTTATACTGCGATTATCAATTGCCTTGGCTTGCCAGCCACTGCCTGTCCTCTTGGATTTAGTAATGGGCTTCCAATAGGTATACAAGTTGTTGCTGGTTTATACCAAGACCATTTAACACTTGCAGTTGCTGAAGAATTGGAACGAGATTTTGGCGGATGGGTAATGCCAAATACAAAAACAGAACAACCCGGAGAATGAAAAAAATTACAATACTTTTAAATTTTGATTGATTCAAAATTTGCCTTTATTTTTATGATATATTTATCTTGGATATTTGCATTGCATTGTTTAATGCAAATGGTTTTTAATGTATTATTTTTTCTATTTATCTTAAATACTCCTTTATACTGAAATTAAGAGTAAAATATATTTAAGACAGAAAAATATATATATATATATATCTATATATGTGATGTTGGAAACTTTTATACAATAATATGTTTATTGTGCAAAATATGATAATCATGGAAATATAATTTTTTCTAATTCACTTTCTTAAAAATATTGATTTATTTAAGTCATCTCGGTAATTAAGTAAATCTTAATTGCATAAAAAATATTCCTAACTTTATTTGTAAGCTTAAATTTACTTATTTTTATTCAGATTAACTAGCTGTAAAAATTCAATTCAATAATTAATTTATTTATCTTACGTAAGATACAGTAATACTTTACTCGCGAAAGCTAATTAATAACACCTGCATAAGAGTGGATATTATTTTGTTGCTTACATAACTGATTACGCGAATATCAAATAATCAGACCATACGTGAACACATGTACTCAACTTATATTTTCTTAAATTAATTCTTGATTCATCTTTTATGTAAAGATAATTTTTGCAATATCCAAAGCTCTCACTTTCTCTGAATATTCAATAAAAAAAATTTCACCTAAGAATCGTAGCTCCACAATATTGGCAACTTATTTTGTTCTATCGTTTAACTTTTGCATTAACCTTCCAAGATGCTATAGAGAGAGAGAATAAAACCGGATTTTTATTTATAAATATGTCATCACAGGCGAACGGAAATACGAATAAAAAAGTACCCCAAAAATATTCTTAAAAATATTTTCAACGAGTTAAGTTTACTAATTTCTGTATAACTTAAGTTATAAGATTAGTTTCTTCCGGAAGTTTTTCTTTCCCATTTTTAAGAACGATTTTTTCAACTTTCAAATTGTCTAATGAATTCTTTTGACTATCATCGCTATCAAATTGATTGGAAATCATTTCAAACTCATTGGAATTCGCATCAGCCGGAAATTCAAGACATTCAATATCCTCTGACTCAGACGACCCACGTACTCTTACAGTATTTCCTTCCTTATCCTTTTGAATTTTAATTCTAAAGTCATCATTAGGTTGAGACTTTAGTATAGCATCTTTCTCACTTTTATTCGCAATGTTCTTATCCTCATAAGCACTCGACCGTCGATTATTAACATTATTTAAATTTTCAATAGATAGTTTTCCTGTGTTTCGCGTGACATCAATTAATGGAATTCCATAGTTTTGACCATTTTTTCCCCTATTAAAAACATCTTTCCTTTCACTTTTCACTCCCACTGATGGTGAGTTTTTTGCAATCTCTTTGTCCCGATTTATCGCAGCGAGTTCTGCTTCTTTCATTGCTGAATGAATCACCGGTTCTGCCCAGAGGCCTGGATTGAAGGCCGGTCCGGTTCCTCCGAGTTCAGCGGGCAGAATATCGGTTGGTAAATGCTCATGCAAAGTGCTCAGATTGTTGCCATGCAGATAAATCTGACAAAAGATATCAAAATTCTTTTGTAAAAATTTATTTGTTTTAAAAATAAACATCTAACTAACTATAAACTTAATAATGTAGTTGAAAATAAAAACTTGTCAACTTATCAGCTTAATAAAATATACATACAAAAAAAATATTAAGTGCTACCTTGTATTTTTTTAACTTGTTATTATTAGATGTTTATTTTTTTCTTAACAAAAGCTTTTATGTTACTTACCTTATGACGTGTTTTTTCATCAAGGAAGGGCTTCACAAGCGCAAGGGTTGCTTGAACATAAAGTGGAGGCGAAAGGAAGTGGATGGCCTTGAATCTTGCTGGAAATCGTCCACGAAGTGCAGCTATCAGGTTTCGCACAGCTGCTGCTCCTAGAGCTCCACCTTGACGTAATGAAAATCCACTCCAATCTACAACAGCTACGAACCCCGATTGCTAAAACAATTCAATTATAAAATAGGATTAGCATTAAATATGCTGTAATGATAAAAACTCTATTACTCCATTAAGTATTCACTCAAGATCGTTTACCTGATTACGAGGGTCTTGAATAAGTGTTTCAAGTACGAGAAAGATAGCACGTTGAACAGACAAAGCCGGAACTGCAATTGGATCCCATTGGGATGCTAATATCACGAGGACACATCGGCCTTTCCTGAAACAAAATTTATTGGATGATGATAACTACATTAATTAAAATTAGGAAGCAATTAAGAAAAGAATGAAGAACCTTTACATAAAGTTTTTAAGTTATTTAAAATTAAATTTTTAATTAATAGATTTCAAATCTAATTATTTTGATTATCAAGCTTATGCGGAAAAACAAATTTTTCAAGTTAATGATTTGTAGACATAATATTTCTTTTGTATGTTTTTGTATAACTTGAAAAGAATTTTAAATTATATTTTTTTTACCAGATGTTTTTGACTAGAAATATTAAAAATTAAAATTTCAACTCACTTATCACGTGCTGGAAGCACTCCTGGAATACCAGCTCGTAAAGCACGTTGCAAAGCTGGATCACGGGCTGTGAGGTTGCCAAAAATGTCCTGACGTTCTGCCACCTGTGCCTGATAAGCTGCTATCAAAGCGGCAGCCTGTTCCACACGATATTTCCGGGCCAACAGGAAGCGTGTTATGTATTCATCGGTACAGTGCTTCAGGTCTAACGAATAACAACGGGATACGATGATAATTGTGCATGCTCTGCGGGAAAACGTCGGCTATACAGAATATACATTCAAGAGCTCTACGGATGTGACTTGAATGCCGTAATAACAGAGTGAATAAACTCAGTCGAGCTAGGGTTACTTGTTCAAAATGGGCTTTTATGAATAATATGACTAATATGTGAAAAAACAAAAAAAGTTTAGAATTTTTCATTACTTACCTACTTCAGGCATTCCTCTTAAAACAGCTCGCACTGTCTTGATCGCCAGTTTTTTATCTTTTATCTCTAGTCTTGTTTCATCTTCATAGATTCTGCGTGCTAATTCAGGACTTACATGCCCACGTGTAGGATCCCACATATATTCACAGTACTCCGACATTGTTTAAGATCTGGAAGTAATAAATGTTCTCATTATTCTGTTATAGATTAACTGTATTTATTTATAATTTTTTTATTATTTGTTAACCAGATAAAAGTTGTTTGACTACTTGTCTAAAGCTTTCATGATTATTAATTTAAAAAAGTAAAAAGGTCAAAAACTTGAATATGATAAAAAAAATCTAGTTATGCCTAGTCTTACTTTCATTTAGCTTTCCTAATATTTGACTAATAAATAAAAATCATTATTTAATTTTTCAATGATCAATTTCTAGAATTTTTTTTTTTAGATTTATCCTGTAAACTCGTTGAAGCATACAATTTGTTATTTTGTAATTAAATTCATTACTTGTTTGATCAATATATTTTGCATGAGTTTACAAATTACCTATTGTTTAGTTCAGTTAAAATGTTTATCAATACTGTCATCTATATTTAAAATAAATTTCGGACGTCTGAGCATTTTTGCAACGATTAGTATGCGAATAATAATTTAGTAAACTTCTCTTTGACATACAAAAAAGTAACCTTGGAGTTTATGATTCATTCAATGTAAACTTTGGTTCGACTTTGTCAGATGTAAAATAAAATATTTATCTGTTTAAGTTTTATATAAATGATAACGTAATGGTGTGATTAAAATAAAAAAGATTTTAATCTTCAATTGCAAATATGGTATTTAGATATTGTAAAAAAACTCCATAACCGTGGAAAGTAAAGGGAGAATATAAATCATAAGGAGATGTTTGTCTGGACATAATCGAATGGTCCAAGCGTTCGTTTCTTTTCTCCAAGAATGGATCAATTACGCCTTTATCTTGCAAGTAAAGACCTTCTCTTAAATGACCACCTTTGAGTTAGCAAACAGCGTAGGCATTGATGCTCCTTCGAACGGAACTTCTCAACCAGTTTAATAGAAGCAAAAAACTAAAAATCCAATTCATGGAAATTTAACCGTTAGGAGTTTGCTCAATTTTAAAAAGTTTTAATGCTCTATTTTTGGTTTGAAAAAAATAAGATACAGGATGTCAAAAAAAGAGAAAGCCTTGCATGGTTGTTAAGGTAAAAAAAAGAACAGGATGAAATCGACGCCAACGGTGAGTCAGCTTCAAACGGGCAAATGTTGCTTATACACTTCACTTGTTCACATTATTGCAAAACTATACACCGTCCTTTCCAACAGTTCAGCGATTCACTGTCACTATTCAGTCCCATTGCATAATGAAAAAATAAGTTTGTGCTTGTTAGTTACTTATACCTTTGGTCAGAACTATACAAAGCGTTTCAGAGTACTTCCTGTCTGTAATAATTTTTCAAACTTAGTCTTCTTTGTAGCATGATAAATTAAAAAAAAATAATCATAAATAAAGATGATTAAGCAATTTTCTATTACTAAATTACTGTTACTTGATTGTTACAAAAAAGAGTTTCTATTCGATACTTGGTTAAAGTAATAATAATAGTAATACCATGCATTTTTCTAGTTTTAAATTTTAACACATATGAAAAGTATTGAAAATGAACTAAGAAAGGAAAAATGGAAGAAACTCTATTTATTTAGCTGAATAACAGACGATAAAAAATTTTAAAAAATGAGTAATTCGAGCTTCTGTCATACCGCAAGGTCTTGTAAGTGACAAAAAAATACTCTATGTCTGTATTTGAATGAAGAATATATTGTTGACAAGTGCGTATTATTTGTAATTGTACACACAACACTTCAATTTTACTCATTTCTTTCTTTCGTTTTATACATAGTATTTTCATTTGCTGTGACAATAGTACTTGTTCATTGACAGAACTACAGCCATTAGTGAGGATGTGTTATGTGATTCATAATTATCTATGTTAAACTACCGTTAAGAGTTGCTGAGCGATACACAGTTAAATAATGCAATTGCATTTCAAAGGATTCAACTATATTTTTAGTAATTCTATTCCAATTTTTATTCGTGATATAGATTAAATAATCAACGAATAAATTATAGTTCATATAAAAAATTATCTATAAATAAATTTGTTGCATAATCTTTTTTTCTTCATTTATCTTTAATTTTCTTCATTTTTCACATTTTTTACCTTTTAACACTTTTTATGAACGCAATTGCGTGAAAAATGTTATCAAACGAATATGAAATATATACATAATAGAACTTGTTTAAAACGATCGATAGAATAAGATATAACAAGTGTCATAAATATGATAAACCTTCGATAAGTTTAAGTGAAATACTTTATTTTAGCTATCCATTATTTGACACAGATGTTATTACTCTATTTAATAATTATTTATACAATTATGGAAACAAATTAAAAATTCATTCTGAAGATGATTACCTGGTTTTTGGCAGATTTATGTTGATAGCAATGTAGTAATTCCCTAACAAATGGTGGTGAAATGTAAATAAACACCAGCGGTAAAATATCACGCACTAGCCTGGAAGGATATGTTCGAGTGATATGTAGTGCCTGGCACTCACGGACGTGAGTTTACGGCGACTGATTCGAACTGTGTTGGCTGACCGCGCGCAACCACGACCGCTTCCACCAACCGACCATATTATGACGTTGAATTGTAACATGTATTGTTGGTTGCAAGCATTGCAAGTAATCTATATAGTCATTGATTCTTGAAAGTATATTCTATATCTTGGTTTTTTCATTATTCTACTTATATATTCTGTTTTCATTTTACTTGGCTGACCACTGAAAAGTATACGAATGAAATAAAGAAAAATTAATAAAAAAAATGATTGATCGAATTTTTTGCACAATATTAGCAGTGTGAATATTACTTTTACAGAAGTTTTTCTTTGTCAAAATAGCCTCACTTTTTGCGTACATGAAACTTTTCTATTTGTTACGTTTTCTAGAATAAATTGAAATAATTTAGATTAATTTTATTTTATACATGATAAAAAAAAACTTTCCAATTACTTACCAAAGTGCTATATTGAAAATAGAACAAAAAATATTGTAAAAACATACTCGTATTACAATAAATCGGCAAAACCCACATATACTTCATTCTACTTTTTAAAGAATATCTTCTATTTGATTTGCATATCGAAACCGGATGATGATCTTCTTTATGTTTTAGCAAACCGTAAAAAATACATAGCAGAAACATCCTGTAATACTAAAAAGAATTGATTTAAATATTTTACTTCAAGGAATTATTATTCTTTCCTTTTACTTTATTGTCATTGACCACCATAGTAAGAAATAAAAAATATATCATCAATTTCGGATTCATGGTGATAATAAAATGCTTTGTGATATCTTAAGAGATAGAAAATGTTGAGAAAGGTCAATTTAATTAATGATTGATGAATAAACAAAATTCCATACTTGCAATAATGTTGCAGACATTAGAAATTTTATGATAGCGTGTATATGTAGTTGAAGTAGTAATTAATGTGATAAGATTTTTTATTAACCTATACTAAAGTTTAAAGTCTTTAGTTAACTTTTCTATCGGGTATAAAAATAGTTATCCCGTTATTCCAGGAGAATTGTATTTTGCATTTAAACTTTTTTAATTTAATTTTTTCTAATGATAATGAATTGTAAAATAATTAAAAATAGCATGATGCAAATCACTTTTCAATTACTACTAGAATGGATTTAAAGATTAACTGTAAAATAATTCAAAACAAGATTTGATTGATCGTTGTTATCCTTCAACTTTAGTCAGTAGGCATAGCATTTCAATTAACTATAACAAAATATTTGCATTATTACTTGTGAGTCACATAATTTATTTAAATGAACACCAATTAATATGCGCAGTCTTTCAATATAAACATTTGCATTTATAAACAAACAAAAATTTATGATCAAATTTTATGCTTTCAGCTGTCGGTAAAATAAAGTGTCACTTTATCTTTTTATTTATAAACTTTTTAGTTGCAACTAGATGTCGTTAGCTGTTAGTGACAGAAAAAAGTTATTTGAACAATAAAATCGATAATTAGGTTATTATAATCTTAGGTCAATGTCAACATCTTTACATCATCGTTAATGTTAATGACAATTGTATAACATTTTATTTATATTTAATACTTCGTAATTAAATTGTTAATCTGTATTTAAATTGATTGATGAAAATAAATTCATAACATATAAGGTAACAGATAAAAATTTAACAAAATAAAATAAAGAGCTCATGTTATTGTAAATATCGTCAACATAAACAGTTATATCTCTATAGCTTTAACCTTCCAAATTTTCGATTTAGTTTATAAAAGTTTATCAAAATCCGGGAGACGCAAATGCTAAATATGATAAACTTGCTGTACTTCGATAATTCTACAATAAAATTTGCCTCAGTCATCATTGAGACTTTGATTCAATCTGTTGTTTGTTGGCAACTTCCAGCTTCGATTTTACACGTAGAAAGTACAACTTCGGCCTTCAAAAGCATCGACAATTATTTCAAGGTATCATATAAATTTAATGTCATTGTTTGCTTTTTGATATGTATTTTTTTAAACTTCAAATGTACAGCACTGATGTTTAAATTTCAGAAAAAATCTAATACAACCAAATTTTTTGATTTATGTTTTTATTATATCATGTGCTAATAATTTTTTTGCACTCATGATTAATTTTTGAGCTGTTTCTATTATTCAATTTATAAAATTATTGTTATGATTTTGCCAACTCATCACTGATTAGTAAATATCAAATGCACTTAGATATTGTATTTTGTAAAGTTTATTTTTGTCATGATTTCATTTATAGTTTAACTAAGATGCATATTTTCATTTTTAAATCAATATTTACTTACTATATTTACAGCAACTCAATAAGTGTTTCTTTAATGATAGTATTAATCAATCTTAAACTCTTGATTTGACCTGTATCAATCATTTTACATTGGAATTAATGCGTCTGGTATTGAGTAGATTATTGCAATAGCAGACTAAATAACGATTAGGTATGATAAAAGAAGTGAGAAAGAAAAAAAATGGAAAATTTAATCGGTTTTTTTTAATGAAAAAAGTCGAGACTTACGGTAGATGTAGGAATAAAGGAGGGATGAGGATGAATTAATGGTAGTGGGAGAAAATAATCAACGAACTTGACGGTCGAGAACAGGTTCCAGTTCACGGACAAGCTAGTAGTCTTTATAAAACTGAATCAGTGGCAATGATGTGCAGAAATGACTTAGTCGTAGTGTCTCTCATTTAATGTGATCTTGAATTTGTAATTAATCTGATATTTACATTATTTTAATCAGAAAAATACAAGATAATAATTTCTATGTAATTATAATTTATTTTATCATGTAATAACATTATAAAATTAATTAATAAGATATATATCTAAGATAGTGTTTTTTTGCAGCATAATGTCGTCTCCAATTACTCTTCTGCATTTTTTGATGGTTGGATGTTATGGTTTCACACTTTACTACACATTTTTCCAACTTAATATTCCAATAATCAACCAAAAATTCCAGAGTTTTGATCCAGGCCAATTCAAATACTTGACAGTATGGGGAGTGGTGAGTTTAATAAATTTTATAATAAAAACAATCTTTTAAATTTTTTAAACGCTTCCCATTAACGGCAGAAAATATTTTTCAAAAAAAGAATTTTTTTTACGAACCAAAGGTTATGTTGAAACGATCGATTTTCGTGACTTGTTTACATTGGACTTTTGTGAGAAGTTTGAAAAAGTATATTAATTTTTTAAATTAATAGATGATGGAAAACGAAGTGAAAATAAATTATCAAATAAAAAATTGTCATACATTATTCAAAAAAATTATTATTCTTGAAACTATTTTACAAGACCAAAGTAACTAAGTGACTTACATATTATTAAAATGACTCAATTAATGAGTATATACAAGTTCTTTAACATAACAATAATTCCAATTATTATGAAATAATTGATTAAATAATAATTTAAAAGATAAAACAAACATCCAGAAACCTTTAAATCTAGACTTCTGGACATAATTAAGAGTTGCAAAATGATTACTCATAAATGAATTGACAAAAAAAAACAAATTTTATATTAAGTAATTCAGGTAATATATCGCATTATATCATACATTTATAATTCTATGGACATAGAATTACATGCTGTCCTTCCTGGTTGTTTTCCCTCATGCGTCTATTTATCAAAGTAATTATGTGCTCCGATTTTACCTTAATTCTTATATAACTGTAAATTCAGATTTATATAATGCTCCATCATAATATCAGTCAATCAGTTAGATGATACTCAGCATCATTTTGTATTCAGTCATACTGAGATTGAACTTTTATACACCAATTTGTATGCATGTGTGTTTATTTCATTTGCAAGATAATTCGAGCTCCTAAGAAGCTTATTTTCTTAAATGTATGGTCTATTAATGATGTTAGATGATTCAAATTTCATTAATTAATTTGAATGATGATAAAAAAATTTAGAACATTACTCACTGTTGTTTTAGTAGCTGACAAAAATAAATACGATTCATCATTAACGGTGATAAAATGCTGAATAATACTTATATTGTATTTTTATCATTTCCTAGTGTCACTATCAGTGATATGCAAAATGAAATTTTGTTTTTATAATTCTTTAAATTTCGATATTCATTTTCCTGCTCACCGAATATTGGGAAAGAATAATGAGGAAAATTGGTTGGTTTTGAAAAAAATAGACAATATTAATTTTGTTGTTATTAATTATATTTTGTTGGTAGGAAAATAAGTTTTTATTTTTTATATTATCTCTCTTATTAATACATATGAAGGCACATTGATGAGGGATATACAGATAATTTACTCTAAAGAAATCTTATCTCGGTCTGATGTAGGAAATTAAATGATGGAAGATATCTACTAATTATTCAGATTAGAGAATCAATGAATTTTTATTATGCATACCTTATAATCATATTTAGAAGGTATAAACACTTAGCAATTGTAAATAAATAATTTCTAAATTTTGATATATTCTGTTAAAGTGAGAATGACTTTTAAAAAGTCAAATGCCTTCGAATGGAAATGACCCGATGAAAAGTAAAACCAGCCGTGAATTTTATGACTTTTAGGGTATCCTAGTAGTTACCGTGTTATTGCGACATTCATGTAACTTGTTATTTGAGAGAAAATATATATTTTATTTTATTCTTGATTTTGAATTGATTATCTGAATAAATTTATATACCGCGATAGAGTATTAATCAGTTTTTAACGTAAAGTATTTGTAAAATTTATTTATTAGTTTGTTTGAAGGACTCGAGTGATCACGACACAAAATAAGTTAAAAATGAATTTTTAATGTACTTGTTTTAAAAATAACTTACATGTTATTTTATTTTTTACGACTGTTTTAAAAGAAGTCATAAACAATTTATAGGAAATCAAAGAAACTTAGAATAACCATTGATTTTTTGCATTGTTTAATTTAAAATAAGCCTTAATATTAGCTCTTTATATCAAACTATTAAAAAATAATTAATTAGTTTCAAGACTTGATGTTATTCATTATATTTGTTTATGTTTTTTTCCTCATAAAAATGCTCATCAAATTTGGAAATAAATTTTTACGCTCCAAAAAATAAAAATGACTACTACAGTCTTTGGACTGAAAAATTGTGACCCAGGTTCATTAGAAAAAAATTCCAACAGAATTATATTTAATCTCTTAAGATACAGAGAATAATCTTTATAAATATGATAGAATCTTCAACGTCAGAGTCTGACAGGTGACAAGGTGATTCAATTTTTAAAAGAAAATTTAATTTTTTGGAGAAACCAGTTTTTAAAATTTTTTTTTTTATCAGAGTATATTTTCTTTCAATACTCTGTCAACATTCAACATTGTCAGAAAATCATTCAACGTATTAAGTAACTTGACATAAATTTTTATTTTTTCGTCATCCCTCAAATGACTCCCACTATCACTAAAGGTAATCGTGATCTCTGGAACCCTCTCACTTCTCCCCTCATGATACTCATGCGCTGCTCTGCTTCTAGCATTCGTCAGTAAGTTCACAGTGAGTCGTCTAGCTCAAGCACGACTCATGCTAAAAAATATCAGCTGACTGGAATTCAATCTTATCAAGTCATACAGGAAATTGAGAAAAATTTGCGTAGACATTTTAAATTTAGTTGTGTGTGTATGTGTGTGTTATTTCAATCCGGACATTAAAATGCAAACTGATAGTCTTTAATTATATCTGAGCTCGCTAAACGTAGAGCTGAAGTGTGACATTTAATTTTACATTGCACATCCTCGGCCTCTCTTATCTTCTTGAGTGTTTAGGGATAAATATATCAAAGCAGTTATTCTTTCGTAAACAGTCTTCGCGTGGTTTCGTCATTGAACAACGATATAATCGGTAACTAATATAATTGATTAACAAAAATAGCAGTTTATAACATTATACACACTTGTAATTGAGCATTGTTTCTCTTCGTGATAAGGTTATGTATAGCGACTTATATGCAAAATATTGTATTTCGCAAGACACTCTGACGATGAATAAATTACACACCTATTTAATAAATATGAGATAGTTTTTATATCAATTATAATAGTACAACCTTGAACTTGTCTTTTTTTCTACGATACGGAAAAAATATCCGTTGAATAAAAAATAAAATTATAATAATTAAGTAGTGTTGATATTCTAGGATAGTTTCAACCTCGATGTGTTGTTGATGTTGCACAATAAATTTTTTTTTTTTATAACAATAATAGAAATCTCTAGTGCCAAAATTCATTAATTTAATTATTTTAATGTTTAAGATGCAAGAGAGTTTAATGCTAGTTTCTAATGAAGTTAATTTATATTTTAGTCATTGAATCCGAAATTTTCGCAAGATTTAGCACATTTTTCTGAGGTTGTAAATTAATATTTAATTCATGATTGAAGATCAGACGTAATTTGTGCTTTCTCTCGGAAGGTTAAGTAATTTCTATGAAGATAATGTGTCCGTGATTTTAATTCTATTATAAAATAGCTTTCGCGTATACCCATTTACGTGACTCTGTTGTGTCATCGATAAAAAAACGTGGACCGACTGAATATGAACAATGTAAATCTAAATATGGAAACTTAACGAGATATTTATCTTTTGTTCCTTTGTAAGTCGAGTGTTAATATGACAGTTGTTTGAAAACAACGCATCCATACCTCATAAACATAAATTATAAACAAAACACCGATTCTATAGAAATTTACAAAAGTAAATTAGTTTTTTTTTTACATAAATAATTTCAATTATATAAGATCTAGTTATTTGTCAATTGTAGTTTATCCTCGTCAAATCCTTTTATGATTAATTAATTCATTTGAAAGCAATCGTGTAACTAGAGAAAGTATTTATGGGTACAGAAATAACACCATTGTTACAAGTTTGACTACTTACTTATGATTTCATCAAGAAAAGTTCATTAAATAATTATTTTTTACTTTTCATACCGATCTGTGAAGTAATCAGAGTTTCTTAAATTGTTTAAACTCATAATTATCACCTATATTGTAAATACTTCATAATTATGATAATTATCCGAATTATTGTACAATTTGCTTCACATAATCAATATTAGAAATTTCAAGCTTATAACTATCGGTAAAAAAATTGACAAGAAACTCAAAGTACCTACAAAACAATTAATTTGCATACACAATATAATAATTCACTATTATAAATCATTTTTTAATGCAAATGATTATTAAATTCATAAATAATGATGGTTTAATGTAGATTCAACTATCAAAGTTGATTTTATTTTTACAAAGATAATTATTGTAGACAAAAAGATACAAGAGAGGTCGAGAAAAAATTGAAAGAAGATGCGGGAAGCCTTGTTGATTGGATTTCATGTGATTGCCTGTGTGCAATTTGCTTTTTCTGTTTACTATGACTTCACCTTTACTGTGGTACCAAATGGTATTCTCAAGATTCATGGTGCTTTTGGTGGAAAGTTTAAATTTCTCACATTTTGGGATGCGGTTCGTATAAAAATATTTATCATTAAGTATCATTTATTAGTGACATCTTTGGTATCTTAATTCACTACCTACACATTGGTCAGGAATTCTTTTCAATGCATTTCTTACAAAATCCTACATCAATGACTAAAAGGTCAACGAAACTTTTTTTGGAGTAGGTCATGATATTTAAAATATATGGCTAAGCCTACGACATTATATGATGAAATAAATATAGTACAAAAATAATTGGAAATGATGATGTTGAATTTCGTGATTAACTTTAATGATGCTGACTAAATTTTTCCATTATTTAATGAGTACTTGAATGATAAATAGCTTTTTATTAATGCTAAACTCATTTATTGAGTAACCAGGAAGAAAAAAATCATGATGAGTATTTAAAATTTATTTGAATATCATTTCAAAGGGTTTTACTAGTTAAAATCTAGCCAGTGGCCAATAGCTTTTTTATTTACGTGACAACTTGATTTTTATTTTACGTAATGGAGAGAAAACTCGCTAGAGCCTCCAAGAAAACGGATGTATTATATGTAATCTTACTTAAAGAAGACGAGGACACATAGATTACCGTAATAAAACCGCTAGAACTTCACATTTTTTTCAAATAGACAATAAGAAATAAAAAGAAAAGTAGACAAAAGAGAGAAGAATCAGACAAAAGTAGCTTTATTCTTTTAAATGCTTCAGGCTAGACCTTTTCATTATTTCTCCAACAAACTTTGGCCTGATCTTCAATTCCTTTATTAGTAAAAGTTCCAGTTATAAATGAGTGTGTTAACTTATAGATATCGTGAGTACATGACTTGTTATAAAAAACTGATAAAACTTTAGCTGATTTAAGATTGAAAAGCAATTTATTGGAATCAAAAAAATGAATGATATTTAAGTGTTTAATCATTTTGTGGTTCACTGAAAATGGTCTTATATTTTGTAAACATTTATTTAATGTGGTCTGCAATTTCATGGCTCTGGAAAACTAAAGTCGTTAGGCAACTGGGGAATTGAGAACTTTCTATAAAACCACATGTTGCTGAACGATAAACGATCAGATTATTTATATATGTATATTATAAAAAACCTGTGATGTCTATCCACTTATATTTATTTATTCGGTGATTGAATATATCGATTAACTTGATCACTGATTTTCAATTTCGACATCAAGTTCCACTCCATGGACTCCTCACTACTATAACACGATGTTGGATAAACGCATGTCAATGTACTTAACATAATAATAGTAAGTGGTGTGGCAGTTTGTGTGAAGTTTCCAATTGACAGCTGCCCACTTATACTCTACACACTCTGCAAATAACCCAGTTTAGCTCTAATGAGAAGATGAACTGTTTTATTCCCTGATGTGCATTAAAATGCGACAAGCATTTTACTTCCTCCACGTTCATAAAATTATCCTTTCATGCTCATTTTTCATGCAAATTTTATAATCATCAATAAATCATTAAAATTTTTAAATCCTATTTTACTAGAATTTGAGAAATAATTATAATAGATCCTTGAAATCTAATTTATGCAAAATGTTCAATATAAGTAATTTTTTGAATTTTATCTCACTCAGTACCTCAGCACCAATAAATTTTTAGAAATTCAAAATGTAGAATATTATTAAAATATTTATTAATTAGTTGGGATATTTGTGTATTGAATAATTTATGAATTAATCTATTTTCATTCATGGATGGAATTTTAAATTTCAGATAATACAAGCTATATTCTTCTTTTTGTGTGTTCTTAATGATTTCTATGGTACTAACAAACTCGTTACAAAAAATGTGCCAGTCATGCGACGTATCAAGGATTATTTCCATGCAACATACAGCTTCCCACTTGCTATGGTAAATATCAATATCAATGATTATTATTTCTTTAATTAGTTCACTGAAGATCAAACGATATTTAAATTATTAATTTGATGATAAAAGTAACATATAAAATATTCTAGTTTGTAGGAATTACATTCTGGTCATTGATGTTTATTGATCGAGAATTGGTACTGCCAAAAGCCTTAGATCCATATTTTCCATGGTGGTTAAACCATCTAATGCACACTATGATCATGGTGTCAACAATTATTGAAATGATTATTGCACCAAGGCAATATCCTAAGAGATTAAATGGATTGATTGGGCTTTATGCTCTTATGTTAACTTATTTAATATGGTAATTAAAAAAAAAACCTTAACAAATTGTTTGGCTATGATAATATCAATAAATTTTTATAAATAAATAAATGTCATTTTTTGTAGGATGCACTTTATTTATTATATGAGTGGTATTTGGGTGTATCCAGTAATGGAAGTGCTCTCCTTGCCATTAAGGATTCTGTTTTTCCTGACGCTATTTGCATTCAGTGGTTTTCTGTACTACGCTGGCGAAGCCTTTGATCATCTCGTTTGGGGTAACGAAAAATCTAAGCAAAAAATTCATTCAAAATCGAAGTAGCCTCGTGCTCTGTCGCCGAGAGGTGACGGGAAAACATACTCTGCTGTCATTGGTGGTGGTGAATATAAATCATGATGGTTCATTTTCCCTTTTTTGCTGAACTGCATGTTAATGCATTTATTTAACCAACTAATGAATGAATTTTTATTTGTTTTCTTTAGCCAATTGCGTCACTTGCATTATTCATTAATCGTCCATTTTTTTATACTAAAAATAGATATTAAATGTGTTATATTAACTAAAAATTCAGTTGAAAAAAGTTAATAAAATTATTTGCACGGGATATAGGCAAACGAAAACTTAGGGCAGCCGAAAGTACTGATCAAGAAAAATTATAAAAATCATCACGACTGGCAAGAAGATGAAGTTTCCAGTGCAATCGAGATTACTATAGTTACCAATCACCGCCAATGATTCTGCTCAATTTTTTCTACTACGACGATACATTTTTCAGTTTTATGCACACAGTAAAAAATTTCGTGTTCACAATGTTAATTTTTTGTGCTGATTTAGTATTTGTTAATATGCACAGTTTCATGTTCGTTTAATAATTTAACATATTAGTTTAACATTTCTTGATCATTCACTCATTTTATTAACAAAATTTAAATGAAATTTTTTTCCTATTGAGTATCGAAAATTATTATAATTATTGTTTTAATTAGATGTATTATAAAAACGCAGATATTCATTTCAATATCCGTACTATTTAACACAAATTTTTTTACTGTGTATGTAAATAATCGATAAGATTTGTTTAGCTTAATCTGTTAATAGATAAAAAGTTTAGTATTTGAAAGTCGTTAAATTTCATCAACAAAATTGAATTCTTAATAGAAATAATAATCTCATGAAACCGTGTGTGTAATGTGCCAATTAGTTTTAATTAAATTGTATACTCTACAAGAAAATTACAATTATCATAAGATTATATATTTTAAGTAATCATAGCTTCGATTACAATCATTATTTGTTACATGATTATTATTCGGCTTTTTCTTTCTGTAAATATCTTTAAAGAACCTCTTTATTGCACTTAGTTGCTGTGTAGGTTCCAGAATCATTTTTGTATTGCACTTAGTATGTATGTGTATTTTTAGTTTACTGTTTAGTTTTGATAAATAATAGAAAAAAATAAAAATAATTTCGATTTCGATCATTAAATCATGTGTCGAATCGAAGCCAAATTTATTATAGAAAATATCGTCTTACTTTTTTTTCAGGTACAGTTAAAAGAACATCAAGTACAACATCTAAAAAGAAGAAATCCAAATAAGAGTCTTAGCTGATTAAACTCGACAGTGCAATTACATAAAGTAATAAATATTAGCAATATTGTTTTTATAATCGATTTATATAAAATCTATTAACTCATTTGTACGGATTGTAAAGTTGATCATTTTTATTTATAAAAATAGTCGATAAAATATATATGTTAATGGTTTTATTTTTGTATAATTTTCGTTACAATGTTGACATCGTTCAGGTGAATAACAATTTATCAAACTGAAAAAAATAGAATTAGAAAATTGAAACATAATATAAAATGTATGTACAATAATAATGATGATATTGATATTAATTCATTATATAAAAAATTAGATGAAACATATATAATTGAATCAATGCCTTAGTTAAAAATGTAAAAATGTGTTCGAAATGAAAGAATGTGACATTACTTAATAAAAATATTTTAGTGCCTAAGAGTAATTACTTTAAATGTCTGCCTATGTATTAAATATAATATTTCTTACATTTAAAATACATTTCATTTTATACACAGCTTAAAAATAGATATTGTACATCACGAGAGTTTTTTAGAAAAATTTTTTCGTATAAAAGAAAGCGTAGACGACAAGTTAAATGATAAAAAAGAGATAAAAAATTGTTATTTGGTATAAGTTTGATTCATTAACTAATAAAATAGATATCAAAACGGTTTTATATAATTTTTCATATCAAAAATATGATTAGATTGATGCAAACTTTTAATTAATAATAATTAATTATAAATAAGCTATAAAAATGATTTTCATATAGTTGTAAAAATCTATCAATAAAATATCTCAGAAATTTTATATTACTCCGTTATAAATTCATAGTTTCCCGCATCAATCCATTAAAATAGTTATTTATCATAAATTAAGTAGAAAAAAAATAAAAAAGGAAGTAAAAAAAGTTTACTTAATTCGCTAGACGTTCTTATGATTTCTTTCATTTCGTCGTCCTTCTTTAGACAGTCTTGCTATGGTAACTGGACTAGTTGCCATGGTCTTTACATCTGCTTTACGATTACTTTTATTTAACTGAGGAGAAATTTGTGTCCCCTTTGAACTGCAATTCCTACTATTTATAATTTCGTCAATACTTTGTTTTAATTCCTCCATTTCTAAAATATCTAGAGGCAATGAAGTTTGTGTAGCTATTTCTCTCGCACTTGAGTGTCCATCAGACTGCATTATTCTTGATAACTCTGGACAGTAGGACGTTAAACTTGAGTTCAAGTCTCCTATACCAGAGTTTCTATAATTTTCCTTTTCATTATCATTTATCTTCATTTCACTTGTCTCCTGCAGAAATTGTTTAAGTACAGTTTCATCTTGGATAATAAATTTACTCTTGCGATTCTCCTTACTTCTTCCCGTTTCATGATTATAACTTCTAGAACTTTTATTGCTACTTTTGCTCTTACATCTTTCTTGTGGCTCTTCACAAGTTATCATTTTTGTCTCTTCATCAGCCTGGCTTTCTTCACTATCTGAATCATTCTCATTCTTATCATTAGTTATATTTCCTGCTTCAACATCAATATTCTTCTTATCCATAATTTGAAGATTTCTCTTTTCTTCAGAGCTCACATTTTCATCACTATCTGTCTGATTGTGAAATAAAAATGGCAAAAGTATTCCTACATTTTTTTCATCAATAACTTTAGAGTTGAATACACCACCATCTAGACCAGCAGTTGCTGATCTTCGTTTCAAGTTTGGAACTTGAGGAATATTCTGAGTCCCGCCCATTGTTAAAGCATTTAAGATTTGAGCTCCCAGTTGACTTTCTTGTGAAGTCGTACTTCCTCTTCGGAAGAGTGGTCCTACTTTCGTAGATCTTGATTTACCAAAGTCTCTTCTTCGCTTTCCTCGTCTACTCCTGGCTCCAGAACTGGATGCTACTTTTCTTGTTGCTTTAACTTCAGAAATTTGCACAGAAATTTGCGAGTCGAGGGAATTCCTTCGTGATTGAACAGACACTCTCTGTACACTAAAACTTATCTCAGAATCTACTGAGTTTCTTCGATTGCTCGACACAGATGCAGTATTTCCACCTACCAATGCTCCTCTTCTTGTAACAAATTTTGGTAGAGCTGCTGCCCAAGTTGAGCTAAAATCTTGAGATGCTACTGAATTGAGATCAAAATTCAGTCCAACGGGGTCGTCATGAGTATTATGGAAACTGATCGATAGACGACCAGCATTGTTAAAAGTTTTTCTTTTTGCAAAAGCTTGAGCAATTACTTTGTGTTTCTTTAATTTCACTGGTTCTTCCGATTCACAATTAAATGTTCTGAAATTCAAATAAAGGAATCAATTAGTAATATTATTGATCTATTAGCAATAGATTAATTAAAATTATTAATTATATTATTACCGGCGAAGAAAACGAATCCAGGTATCGATAGTTGAACTGGTCCAAACCCATGAAGACATTAGAACACCCGCAAGAAATGGTGCTAGTAAATGCAATTGTAGTTTTGTTACACTAGGTTTGTACTTCATTTTGCATTCAGAATCTTCAGAGTATTTGGTAATTAAACATCTATTGAAAACGAATAAAAAAAATTGATACAACTTTTAAGAGGCGTAAATTAATAATACTTACATCATATAATCTCTGAAACTTTGGTGCCACTTCGACGAATTTTGAAAATCGTACATATGACAATAAACTGTTATAACTACAGCGAGAAATGTAAATACAGAAAAGCACCCCATTCTTATGATTGTGCCACGAATTTTGACACTTGCTCGTTCGGATATAATTTCCTGACTGCTTATCTTTAAGCGAATTAATGTAACCAAACCTGGAATACATATAATAAAAATGAAACAAAAATATAATGAAACATTATTCGAAAAGAAAATTAAATTGAGCATCATTTAATCTACTTTGTTCTTACTTACGATAATCCAACTATTTATTGAATGAGTGAATGTTTGAAAGCATACAAAAATCATAAGACAATCAACAATACTTTTAATAAAAAATCATTCATAAACAGTTTAATAAAAAATGCCTACCTCTAGACAGAAAATATCCACCAATGAGTATTCCAACTAATATGGGACCAAGTAAAAATCCACTTCTTATAATATGATTAGTGTATCCAACGAAGCAAATACCGGTGACACTATTTCCATCAACTTCTCCAAGAGCAATAATTGTTACAGTTAAAACTAAAGGTAAACACCAGGCTATCAAGTGAAAGTAAGCACTTTTCTTGTCGATCTTGTCTTGGATTGTGCTCAATGCTTGAAATCTCATGTGCCAAGCATATGTAAGAATAACAAACCAAACTGTGGCAGCCATTGAAGAGTAGTAAATTAAAACGAATACTACAACACAGGATAAACTTCCCCCACTGTAATTGAAAAAGAGTTTTGTTTAATTATATAAGTATTAATTAAAATTTTAAAAATTGACAATGAATTTTTACCTAGGTTCGTTCATTCTTAAAGTTCCATCTTTTCTGCAAACAATAGATTCTCTATTTCCTGAGGTAAATTGAGCAAGCCATCCAATACAAGAAATTAAGAAGCAACAATTAATATAAAAAATAACTAAAGCAGGATATTTATTGGCACTTCTCCAGTCAATTAAAAATGTTATGACTGTAAAAAGATTGAACACTCCAGAAATTACAGCACCCCAAAAAATGAAAGAGTGTATCTGATTTTGTTGTTCAGGTGTATATAAAGGGTCATTGCATTGGGTACCACATCCTTCAACTCCTTCAAATATTGCTAATGAGTTTTCAGTGGATATCAGTGGATTTATACATTTCGTTGATGTATTAAAATAATAATCTCTCATGTAATCGTTACACATCTTAGGAAATAATTTCGTATTTTCACAATTTATAAAATTTGGCCATATAGTATGATTAAAAAGTATTCTGCAAGGTCCTGAGACTTTTTTACAAAACTCTTGTGAAGGTAATTCCACTGTATTATTATTACATTGTGGCATAAATAGAGAACATAAAAATGGTTGAACTACTGCCCAACATTTAGGAATGTGTCTTAAGACTTGTAAAATTTTCAGTCTTTCCTGAAAAAATACACATAAAAGATCAATATATTATCAAAAATTCAATGAATTTTTTGAGTGATTACAAAATTTTGTTAATTTAATTACTTGAATTTGATCTTGAGTCATAGGTTCTGGCAAAAGATCAACAGTGGTCATGGTAAATGGTAAAGGAGTGCCCATGCACGTGCTATATTTCATTTTGACACATTTTACTTGTTTTCTACAGTTAACAGAGGCAGTGGGCTCTACATGAGGATACCTCTCAAGAAGGTAACTTGGATCATGTAGCCGGACAGCCAGGTCTAAATTTTTCCACGTACCATTTTCTCCATTTTCATTTCCTTCAAAACTTTCACTTAGCACTGAATTAACTTCATTAATTGAATAAAAAACGAATAAATAAGCTAAACATAGAGAAGCCTGGAAGTAAACAAAACATATTATTAATAAAGTTAAATAAACAAAATTAAATAATCAAATATTTACATATGATATTTTATAACCACTATTGACTCTAAAAATAAGCACTTTGGTATGCATAAAATCAACAAGTGATTGAATAAATTTTTTAAAATGAATTATCGATGATTATTTACCTTATAATAATTATGATAATTTTGCCAGAACATTTTAGCTATGTGAAATTAATTTACAAATGGAAGAACGCTGGGCCTAAGCGTCTTGAGGCTTCTCTCCACTTCTCTCGGTACACAAAGCGTTGTACATCGTCTAAACCTTGCCAGCTACATCACATCCCGCTTAAGGATTGCCGGACCACACACACGTTGATGGTCTTCGGGCCACCCACGAAGCACCCTGCATGATTGCACCCCCTCCCTAACCTCGAGGGTTCTTGAATGCATCACCGAGAGAACACAGAGAACAACCAAAAAATACTAAGCTATAACTATATGTATACAGAGAACTCCGAAGAATACGGATTTCGATTTTGCAAACCTTCAGTTAGTACATACTATCACAATGTGATGTCGCTACTTGTCTACTTTTGTTGGCGTCCCTTCCAAAAACAATCAGCAAAAACATCAGATGTCTTACCTAAGCCTGCAAAATAAGAAACAAATAAACTATAACTTTTTATTATCGAGTTTGAACGATCATCCCAGTTTTCAAGGCATAAAAATGAATGAACAAAATCGGACTTCTTTATAATGAATTTAGAAGAGTCATAGAAGTAAATAAAATCGTCCTCACTCTCGTGCAAACAGGTATGATATCACCATTTTTAAATCCATTGATTTAAATCTCGCAGATAATTTAAATATTTAATCAAAATTTGTAGTACACAATATAATTTTTTTAATGAAAATATTTATAATAAAATGAAAAAAAAAAAAAAAACATTTATTTTAAAATTTATAACATTTTTTTAGTTGCTCCTACCTGGCTTGATAATGTAGATAAGAAGAATTTGTTCTTGCCGACACAAGTTGATAATGTTGGATCTGATTAATATGTATAAAAGCATAATTTACATAACCTACATAGAATAATACAGAAGTAAAAGTAATAAAAAAAGTGACGTCAAATCATGTTTGATTATTTAATACGTATTTATAATTAATTTATCGAGTAATCAACAGTATTTCTATTTAATTGAATTTTCTAATTTAATTTATTTATAATCAGACTTTTGATTATTTACAAAATAATAAAATAGAATTTTAGTATACGATTTTTATTGTGATCTGTCAAGTACAGCTGTAAAGTACACGTGTACACAAAGAATGAAGTAAAAGTGATAAAAATATTTTTCTAAAATATGCATCGATATATATATAGAAATTATGGAACACATATTACTATTAATTAAAAAATATTGATAGCTTCGTATCTGGCATATGAAGCTTATCATATAATTTTTCTTGCGGTATTGTTACACCCGTTGCAGGAAGTATGGTAATTACCCCTATGGTTGATTAACAACTTGCTGATGATAACGATATCTCTAGTCTCATTTACATGTTAAGCAGCTTTATTCCTTCAAGCACATTGGTTGTAAGATATTGTCATTAACTTAGTGGATTGTAAAAACAAAAAAATCAACAAATTAAAAATAGAAAGAGTTAAAAACATTTGTGCCAAGTGGCACATGTTGTCAGTTGAACTTGATCAGTTCTCGTAGACATTCCATGAATATTAGGAATAATTTTATTCCTTGATGAGATTTCTTTGGTAATTGAATTGAATATTTAAGTAAGTTATTAATGCATGCTATTGTTAAATTTAATCGCTTAACCTATAAAAGTGTTATAGTTAAATGATTTATCAATTGTTTTAGTATAATGATGTCATTAATCAACATTGAATGGCTTCTTTTATCAATGGTAATTTTTTTTGTGGACTGTCAAGCCGATTATCCTGATGATTGGACAAGCCAAAGAGAGCCAGTATGTCCTCATCTTTATCCACATATTTTTACAAGTTATACTCCTAGAAGTAATTGGACTTATGGAAAATTTACTCCAAAACCTGAAATTTCGAGTACAAAACAGTGTGTATTATCTTGTTGTTCGGAACCACGATGTCATGTAGCGTTAACATTTAACAGTACGTGCTATCATGTAGAGTGTAAATTTTCGAAAATGTGTGTACCTGTTTATCGGCCAGATCTCGCAAATTTACCTGATCCACCAAGAATGGTTTTAGTTAAACCGATTGAACGTGACGTCAGTTGGGGAGATATCATCAATCAATTAAATTACGAGTCTAATCCTACGCTTATTGATATAGCTGAGAGAGATAATTTAATGCTCAAAATCTCTTGTTTAGGCAATTCTGACTGTCAAGAGGCTCAAATTTGTGTAAAGCGTAACGATGTGGATGACAAAAATGATGATGGAGTTTGTGAAGATGTTACACCCGAGTTTGAAATGGATACAGATGCTAAGTCTAGCATTAAAGAATCTACTCCAACTAATCCACCGGTGAAAAAACAACTTGTTGTATCAGCGGTATCGAAAGAAGTTCGTTTACCTGACAATCAAGCTACTTTATCTGCATTTACTTTTCCCGCAGAACAAGGAAATGAACACTACAATTATGCTTGGAGTTTATTGAGCCAACCAGAGGGACATACTGGAGTGATGACTGATCAAAATCGTCCTACGTTAAAACTGAGTAAGTTATCTGAAGGATTATATAAATTTCGAGTAACTGTAACAGGCTCTGATGCTTCTGGAGAAGCTTATGCTAATGTTAGTGTACTTCCGCCGAAAAGAATCAATAAACCACCAATTGCCATAATCACTCCGGCTTCTCAAATTGTTAAATTACCTAATACTGGGGCAGTCCTTGATGGATCATCAAGTACTGATGATGACCAAGTTATTTCTTATCATTGGGAACTGCAACAAGGACCCATAGGATATCAACCGAACCTTGTTGATACACCAACCCTGCAATTAGATAACCTTATCGCCGGAAACTACACATTTAAATTAACTGTTCAAGATTCTGATCATGTCACGAATTATACTACTGCCAATATAACAGTTTTAAAATTAACAGACTATCCACCTAGTGCGAATGCGGGACAGGATATAATCATTTATCTTCCTCAGAATACCATTACGTTAAATGGAAATCTTAGTACTGATGACCATGGGATTACAAGTTGGGTATGGACTAAAAGTCCTTCTGATGAAAACAAAGCAGTTGATATGCAGAACACGCGAACTCCTTACTTACAGTTATCTAATCTAGAGGAAGGAATGTATACATTTGTTCTGAAAGTTACTGACGAATCAGAACAATATTCTACCGCAGAAGTTCATGTCTTTGTTAAACCACCCACCAATAAACCACCTACAGCTGATGCTGGAAAAAATATTACCATTGCCTTACCACAAACCCGGGTTGTTTTGAATGGAGAAAATAGTAAAGATGATATTAAACTTGTTTCTTACCACTGGGAACAATTAACTGGTCCCAATAAAGTAGAATTTACGTCTGCCAATAAATCTTCAACTAATGTTACCAATTTAACAAAAGGAATTTACACGTTTAAATTAACTGTTATTGATGATAATGGAAATAAGGATTCAGATACAGTCACTGTTGAAGTGACACAAAATAAAAATGCACCACCAAAAGCTAATGCTGGTGGAGATCAAGTAGTTATTTCTCCTATAAGTGCCTTGGTCATAAATGGATCTAGATCAACTGATGATTTAAAAATTGTCCAGTGGTTATGGACAAGAGATCCTTCGAGTTTAGCCATCGGTAAAATTATTGATGGAACTGATCACTCACCAATTCTAATGGTTACTGATATTATTCCTGGTCGATATGTTTTTAAATTGAAAGTAACTGATGATCAAGGATTAAGTAGTGAAGATACAGTATCTGTTATTGTAAAACCTGATCCAGAGCTTCTTAATCTAGTTGAGTTGACTTTAAATATTGGGGCGCATTTATTAATTGAAGCACAGAAGAATACTTTGGTAGTCAAATTACAAATGTTATTGAGAGAAGAAGCAACGATTGTAGTTCGAGATTTGAAGGCTGAACAACATACAGGACGTGCCTGCTTAATATTTTATGTTCAGAAGAAGGATCAGAAATCATCAATGACAGGAAGAGATGTTGTTGATAGATTGAAAGAGAAATTAAAACAGGATTCAGGTCTTCTTCAACTATCTGTAACTTCACTTGATACTGTTATTTGTCAAAACAACTGTTCGAATCATGGTGTTTGTGATGAAGAAACACGGCAATGTTTATGTGAAGCTTTTTGGATGCAAAATCTTATCCAGAAATATTTTGGAAATGGTGAAGCTAATTGTGAATGGAGTATTTTATATGTCATTATAGCACTTCTCTCACTAGTAATTTGTTGGATTGGTTTAGTCTGGGGAATTATTTGTCTGTGTCAACGAATGTGTGGTGGAAAAAATCGTTCAAGGTTTAAAAAGAAAAATCGTTACTCTCTTCTTCAATCACAAAATGTAGATGATAATGAGCACAACACGTTTTCACCGCGCAAAATGGCTTTGTCCGAAACAGACACTGAATCAGATGATGTTCTATTTGAACATCGCAGACTTAATAAAAATATGGATCTTAACTACAAAAATGGAAAAGTCAGAAATGGTTTCGTGAAAACTGGATCAAGAATTAAAGCATAAAGAGAATTATAAGGTGTAATATTTTTGATTAATTTTTAAAGTACCTACTTTTAGATTATTTTATATTTTAAAGCGCTTTTATGTAAAATTTTTATCATTATAAATGATGAAAAATTTTTAAATAACTATTCCATACTTTACATCTTGGAAAGATGAAGGTCATAGATTTTTGCCTATAAAAGTATATAAAATACTTACTAGTCTTTTTTGTGGCTGTTAAAATACTTTTACATTAAAAAATAGTCAATTTATATTAATATTCACAAATACAACCATTGTTTCACCAATATCTTGTATAAATATGAAATGAGAAAATTATCGAAATATACCAAATTATTTCTTACTGTAAATATACATTTATTTTTTGTAAAATAGTATTAATATAAGGTATTCATCGTTTGAAGATCAATAGCTAGTCTATAATTATTTAATTTCACTCAATAACAATTAGTATCTATAAGTTTAAATAATAACGATTAATTTTATGCTTTACAATGATAGCCTTGCACGTTTTGTTGGTGGATCTTCTCGTCCATTTAGGTAATCTTCGTATGGTTTAAATGCAAGATATTTACAGAGACGAAATGTTAAAGTAGTTTTTTGATAATAGTCCGGTACCATTTGAATGTTACTGATTACTGTCGATAGCAAATGAGCTCGCTCTACAAAAGATCCTAAAAAATGTATATTTGGTAAAACTTATTTATTAATTCAAAATTGTATCTTTTATTTTACATTGATAACAAAACATACCTGCATTTTCTACATCTAGAGTAATAAAATGTACATGAAGCTGATAATATGACGGTTGATAGTGGAAAAAAATCTTTAATTGATTTTCAGAAATATTATAAGTTTCTTTTATAGCTTTAGTTCCAGCTTCTTTAATATTTGTCAACAGAGGAAGATGGCTTTCATTCAAATCTCTAATGCTTTTTATTTTTTGCCTCACCAATGCAATCAAGTATAACGATTTTTCATCTTTCATTTTTAAATCCTTTACCAGGACAAATCCAGTTTTTTTATCGGGGTCGTTGAAAATGACTCTATCTGTTTCAGCTTTACCTTCTAAAATATTGTCGACCCACTAAAAGAAAGTTGATGTATTAGTCTCATAAAAATTTAACTTATTTATTATTAACTTCCGTTGTATCAATTTAATGAGTTTAACAATTTTATTTTTATTACAAACCTGAAGAGATAATTGTTGTGAATTTATAATAGGAAGTGTGACATTTTCATATACTTCTGGAGTTTCTTCCACAAGATAAAACGTTGGTGGAGTAAATTTTTCAATGTGTTTGGGCGTAGCAGGATAAATGATAGTAGCAGCCAAACCTAAATTAATTATAGCGATTAGATATAACTTCATTTGATAACCATCGGAGTTGTACCATGTTTGTTGTCAAAAAATAAAAATATAAACAAACCATTGTGTTCCTTTTCTGGGAACAAATCATAACCTCTATAAATGTCATTGCGATATATTTTTTTTACTATAGTCTCATCATTAAAAAAAGCTTCATTTACTGATAATTCTTCTTTAGGAAATCCTTTTTTTTCAAGAACAACTAACGCAGGTTGTTTATATCCTTTAAATGTACCCTCAACAGCAAGTAATTTTTGAGTTACATCATTCCTCAGAATTCGTTTTACCGTAAAGTTTGAAAGATTATTCAACAATTCATGAATAGTGTCATTTTCATTTGTTGTAGACTCATTATTGTCGTTCACATTTTGATCTAAACTGGCTTGACTGTCATTTAATGAACTTTTGTATTCTTCGCATACCAACACGTCTACTGAACCGTCCGCCATCTTTATTATACTGACATGAGCAAAGCTCTTTGTTGTGTTACGTCACTTCTGTTGTATATGAGCGCTTGTCACATGTGTAATAAAGTCTTCCGTTATTTTTTTTTATAACATTTATTTTTATGAGTTTTACTTTTTATTTTACATACCGCTAGAGCTTGTATACACTTAAGTTTTAAAATTGATTACTAATTTCTTAGTTCATTAATTTCATTTTAAACAGTACATCAGATAAGAAGTTAGAACTCCAAAACGTACGTATTTATTTATTATATACACGAGAGCAACAGTGTCAGGAAATAATCGATTCACTTAACATGCAGTATATTATTAATAGACTTTTTATTTTAGATTAGCTATAGCAATAAATTAAATAATTAGTTTCATAAATAAATATATATAAAAAATTTGAAAAATGCATATTGCTGACTAGAATACAAAATAGATTTAATAACGACTTCGATTAATACTTTCAGTTGATTGAAGATATTTTTTATTACGATTAAATGATAAAATTGAACTTCTGGAACTTTCACATAAACTAGCAGGTGATGAAGAAGGTTTGATATGCTGGGTACAAGGTAATATGATATTCTTAGCAGCAATTAACTTTTTTACATAAACTTCCGCTTCTACGTGACGTATAGTAAACTCGGTTAACCGCTGAAGGCCAAGGAGATTCTGTTCTTCGATTTCGCGTGTTGCAATATCCTTCTGCAATCAAATAATGATTACTCGATTGAGTTAACTGTATTTTCCTTAAATAGAATATAGTAGGCAATTAGTAGAGCTTATGTATATTTACTTCTTGTAAAATTATGATATCATCATTAGCACATTCACAAAGTCGCTGAATGTCCTTGTAAAGTTTCTTGAGCCTCATATCCGCTCTAGATAATCGCCCTTTCTGGTCATTAATTTGCTTCTCTAGGGCAACAACTATTTCGTGTCTTCTATCTTTCTCCTCTTTCATCTGTTCTAAGTCTTCTAATGACAATTTATAATTTTCTTCAGTTATCTATAATAGACAGAAATAGAACATTAGTCAAAATAATTTAAACATCATATATGTAATAATAAACTTATTACCGATAATTCACTTTTACTAGTGTTAAACTGAGATTTTTTTCTTTTTAGTTCATCTAAAGCTTGAAACATTTGATGATCAAGTTGACTTTGTATTATCTGTTTTGAACTGTCGTCTTCCGCTGTTCCTAATGACAATTTATATTTTTCATTGCAGGCATTAACTACCCGCAAGGTATTTTCCATACTCTTAATTTCTTGCTCAGTTTTTCTAATAGCCGCATCTAATTTGTCTCCTCTTTCTTGTAATTCGTATTTATACTGTGCATTCTGTATTTTTAAATATGTCGTTGCTGGTAATGAATCGCCAGTAATATTTGCATTTGAAGTAGCAATTATATTGTCATATCGCGACTGAAGGTGGAGAGTTTGGTAGTGTTTTTCATTGATTAATGCACGTAATTCTGAGCATTCATTTATAGCCAATTTATTTCTTAAATTAAATGCTTCTCGTAACATTTTTAATTCCGCTATTCGTTCCTTCATTGCCTGAATCAAGAATAAATAAAAATTAAATTACTACTTCCTACGTTTTAATAACAGTATACGTATGATTTATTATTATACTTACAGTACAAATCTTCAAGAGACATTGCTCTAAATTATAAACTCTACTACCTGTATTTCTCATCATTTCTTCTGCTTGAGTTATTTTTAATTCTAGAATATTTTTTGCCACTTGTTTTTCTTCGTTTAAACGCACAACTAACTTTAATTGCTTCTCGCCACCTTGCATCATCAATTCAAGATTTTGTTTTTTATCCTTCAACAACTTTACTCTATTATTCTCTGCATCTAAAGTACTCTGAGCTTTTTTTAATTCATTCTGAAATAATTGATAACACAACTTATTATTGAATATTTACTTCGTTTATTAATGTAATTAATAGATTTTTTCTTAAACTTTATTTACCTCTAATTTGATCATATGATTTCGGAGCAATTTCGAAACGTCGTTCCTTTTATCGAGGGCCTCTAGAAGTCCATCAATTTTTTTTCGTTTCCTTTCCAATTCATCTGCATCTTTACCCGCATCCTTTGTACCTTTTCCAAGTCGTATTTTACAATTTTCAATCAATATATCTAGTTTATAGGCTGACTCTTTTCTCTCTTGAAGTCGTTTTTCCTCTTTTACTTGAGACATAGCTAAAAGTTCGATTTTTTTCAGCTCTCCTTGTTCTTGAAGTTCAATCATTCTCCTATCATTCTCTCGATCACTAATTTTACTCATTGTTCGAGCAGATAAGCCTTGGAATCGTTTAATTTCGCTGGATAAAGAAAATTTACGTCTTTTTTCTTTCTATAATTGATAATAAAAATATTACCTCCTGACATTAGACGTTTAATTATTACGAAAATATTAAAAAATACCTCAATCATGGATTCTAATTTTTTTCTTCTGTCCTGAACATTCTCACTCTGATTATTGACTTTATTCAAAGTTGCTTTCATGTCTGCTATTTGTTTGTTCCAATCATCTATTTTTTTCGTTTCATTCGTAATATTTCTCTTCATTGCTTTTATTTCAACTTGCAAATTTTGTATCTTGTAGCTATTATCAGTTAAAATTCTTTTTTGTGTTTTGTATTCCAAATTACCCTCATCAATATCTTTTGCAACTTGATTACGTTTTTCTTTGGCTAATACAAGAGCTTTTTCCAGATTCTTTATTGCATATTCAAGCTCTTTATTGCAACTTATTTGATTATTCATAAAACTATCTGATTCATCAAGAATTTTTAATTTTTCTGCTCCAGCAGTTTTTAAAGTTTCAATTTCCTTGATTATCTTCTGAATATCATCATCTCTTTCTCGTAAAATTAAAACACTTTGTGTCCAACGTTCTATCAATTGCTTACGAGTATTTAAAGCTTCTGTATAAAATTTAGCAGTTCTATCTAATACTACTTCTTTTTCACAAATATTATCTATTACCTTAATGACAGCTTGCTTATGAATTTTTAATTCTTCGGTCAACTTCTCTCGTTTAAGATCTAACTCTTTAAACTTTTTCATATCCAATCTGACATATTTTCTTATTAATTGCTGATGTTCTTCATCACGATTTAAAATCTTTTTACATTCAAGGATTTCATGTTTATTGAATGATACAATTCTTTTTAAACATTCTAAATTTTCTTGCAATTTTTTAATTTCTTTGGTCATTGATCCAATTCGCTCTTGAGTATCTTTTTTCTCTTTTTCAAGAGAACGAAGCTCCTTTTCAATAGCTGATTCATCGTGTTGGGACAATTTTTCGAAATGATTTTCTGCTTCATATTGAGCTACACAAGCTGTCAAAAGCTTTTGATTATAATTATAAAGAACTTTAATATCTTTTAGAAATAATTCAATGGCATGAACTCGTGAATTTGTTTTGTCTAATGTTTGAGTCAATTCTTTTTTCTCTTGTAGTTTTTTTTCAATCTGTACATAAAAAATTTAATATGAATAAAGTGCTTGAGTGCTAATTTCGAACGAGTGTATTTTAAAATTGAAATTTATTAAATAATTACTATAAAAATCTATTTATTACCTCTTGTTCAAGTTGTTTATTCTCTTCATTAGCTACGGGAATTCGAAAACCTGAATCCCATCCTAAATCTTTTAAAATATCTTTCAAGGATCCCTTCATTTTAATTAATTAAATGAATTTAAAAACAGAAATTCATTCTCGCATAAATAATAATTGCATCAATGATTCATACGATTACGAAACAAGTTCAATGAGTGACAGCAAACAAACTCTAACCTATATAAGTTGAAATGACAATAGTAAAATAATAACAAACAAATATAACAATATTAATGAATATTTTTATTAATTATGAAATAAACATCATTGATTTAATTATTAGTAATTAAAGTACCTTAAAAAATATTACTGTCAGTATGAAAACAATGTTTTTTATACAAAATTTTAAATTGGAGTAAATTTACTCCAAATTTTTTTTTTATTTTGAACAGGTTGTACGACTGCAGCGCTCAAACTACAGTTGCTTCAGTTTTCAAAATGGCGATATGTTAGGGAGATAGTGCTGTAAAAATGTCAAGAAAATGTTAAATAATTATTTTGTTATAAATAAATAAGCTGATATCGTTGAACAATGGAGGCAGGGACAAGTGGTAGTACTCGAGCTACCAGATTTATGATGGAAGGAGTAGGTGCGAGAGTAATACGTGGACCTGAGTGGAAATGGGGCAAACAGGTTAGAGTTTCATATAAACTTTCATTATATTTCTCCAAACATATTTTATTTTCTAAATTTATCACATTGTTGTTAAATAAAAATTTATATTGAAGGTTATAATAATAACTTATTTACCATTTTAAATATAGGATGGAGGAGAAGGTCACGTTGGTACAGTTAGAAATTTTGAATCTCCTGAAGAAGTTGTTGTTGTATGGGATAATGGAACTGCTGCCAATTATCGATGTTCAGGAGCATTTGATCTGAGAATTCTTGATTCCGCCACGACTGGTGTTAAGCACGATGGTACCATGTGCGATACATGCCGACAACAACCAATATTTGGCATCAGGTGGAAATGTGCTGAATGTGGCAATTATGATTTGTGCTCCATTTGCTATCATGGTGATAAACATCATTTGAGACATAGATTTTATCGAATTACAACGCCTGGTAGTGAACGAGTACTTTTAGAGCCAAGAAGAAAAAGTAAAAAGGTAATGATAATTTTTTATTTATTGAAGCATTTAAAAACAAAATAAAATATTGTAATTAAGTGATAAAGCATTAATTTTTATTATTTTATCTCATGAAGATAACAAAGTAATATATTGTAAATTTATTTAAAAATCACTTGGTAAAGGAATGAAAGAAATTGTGTTAATGCATAATTTATAATTTATTTATGATATTAATATTTAATTACATAAAAAAACAGATAGCTATTCGAGGAATTTTCCCTGGAGCAAGAGTAGTTCGAGGTGTTGACTGGCAGTGGGAAGACCAAGATGGTGGCAATGGACGACGAGGAAAAGTTAATGAAATTCAAGATTGGTCTGCTGCGAGTCCAAGATCTGCTGCATATGTTATATGGGATAATGGAGCCAAGAATTTATACAGAGTCGGCTTTGAGGGGATGGTTTGTACCTGAAACTAACAAAGCAATTAATTTTTAAAGGTATTAAAAATGAATAATCTTTATTCTTAGGCTGATCTTAAAGTTGTTAATGATGCAAAAGGACAAACCGTGTATCGGGATCATTTACCATTACTTGGAGAGCAAGGTCCTGGTCGAACAGGTCCTCATGGATTACAAATAGGAGATCAAGTTAATGTGGACTTAGAATTGGAGATTGTCCAATCACTTCAACATGGTCATGGAAGCTGGACCGATGGAATGTTTGAGTGCCTTGGTACAACTGGAACAGTTGTAAGCATTGATGAAGATCATGATATTGTCGTATCTTATCCTAGTGGAAATCGATGGACATTTAATCCCGCTGTGCTTTCTAAAGTTCAAACTCCAGCGCCAGCTGGAAACTGTTCAACTACCGATAGTCAAGCATTTGCAGTGGGTGATTTAGTCCAAATCTGTAATGACTTGGAAAAGATTAAGTTATTGCAACGCGGACATGGTGAATGGGCAGAGGCAATGGCACCGGTTGGTTATTTTTCAAATGTATTTTCACTTTGAAAACATTGGAATATTACATAATACTTTTATTCATTTTTCACTATGATAGACGTTGGGTAAAATTGGTCGGGTGCAGCAAATATATCACGATGGCGATCTAAAAGTAGAAGTATGCAGTACTTCGTGGACATACAATCCTCAGGCTGTTGTTAAAGTAGCAAGTAGTGATGGAAGTGTGCCAGGAAATAATAGCGGGGGTTAGTGAGATAACTACAGAATATTTTTATCAGACTTAAAAAAAATTTCCAAATTAACATAATACCTTTTTAGAACGGTTATCTGCTCTGCTGAAAAAGTTATTTGAGACTCACGTATCAGGGGACGTTAATGAGGAGCTTGTTAAATCTGCTGCCAACGGAGATGCTGTAAAATGTGAAGAATGTTTAAAACGCCTCGATGCTGACGTAAATGGAGTATTTGCTGGTCATACAGCACTTCAAGCAGCAAGTCATAACGGTCATCTAGATGTTATAAAAATTCTTCTACGTTATAAAGCTGACGTTGAAATTGAGGTATGTATTACTATAGCTACCATAAATTTTATACTCTTATAAAACTCAAAAACAACTTTCTGTACTATCTATTAATTTATTTTTCTCTCTTAATTTTTTATAGGACAAAGATGGAGACAGAGCCGTTCATCATGCTGCATTTGGTGATGAGCCAGGGGTTATGGCTCTTGTTGCGGGTGCTGGAGCTGACTTGAATGCTAGAAATAAAAGACGTCAAACTGCGCTTCATATTGCGGTTAATAAAGGACACGCAGGTGTTGTTCGTACGTTATTAGAATTGGGTTGTCATCCAAGTCTTCAAGTGAGTATTTACTCATTACAACATTAATTACAGAAACCACTTGACATATTTATTTTAAAATTAATTAAATAAGATTATTCATTAAAAATTTCAAAGCACATGAATTTTTGATTGTTTTATTTTACTCGTCAGGATGCTGAGGGAGACACTCCACTCCACGATGCGATCTCTAAGAAAAGAGACGACATGTTGACGCTGTTGTTAGACCATGCGGCAGACATTACTAGGACAAACAATACCGGTTTTAATGCTTTGCATCATGCTGCTCTACGCGGAAATCCAAGGTAAGTCTGAATACTCTATTCTGTTGTTGACTACTGCATTCAATTGCTTTTGTCAATAGACAATTGCATTTATACAATAAGGAACACGTTGTATTACTCGTATAATTACTATTTAATAATCGACATTAAACCAAATAGAATTTTTATCATCTAAAGAAAGAATGAAAAAAACTTCTTTTTAAAAAAGTTAATTGAAATTTTTACTTTACAAGAGATAGTAGTCTTTCATTGAATAAAAACAATTGGTTTAATGCCAAGCAAAAACAAAAATATCTTTCCAATTGTTGGAATCCAGGAAGTGTACTGCAATCGTGAGAAAATGGGCAAAAGAGAATTGCCTCAGTAGAAATAGTGCGGTGAGGAAACTAGGGAGAGCTTTCGGCATTGGTATATACTAGACTCACCATCTTCTCGCACACCAACTCGTCCAGTAATGGCTGAGGTTGGATGGGTTGCTGCAAGTCTGTGCTTGAACAGGGATTTACGAAATTTATCACTCGAACTCTGGGTAAAGGATTAGCAGACATTCCTTCTACTCGTACGTTTTAAACGTTTATCCACGTTTTATTCGTAAATAAAACTTGTCTAGTCAAGAGGAATGTTTGTTTAGCAACACTTTTTTTGGTATTTAAATAGTCTAGTTATAGAAAAAAACAGCAAGTACTAGATATATTTAGTTCTTTGTTACAAGTTACTGTACCATTTCTACAATCATTTCTTCTTCTTCTTCTTCTTCCTCCTCTCATTTTCTTCTCCTTGACCTTCTATAATAGATGTTCATGTTCTTCTTCTACTGCTCCTAATTCTTGTCAATGTTTCTATCAAAGTAATAGATTTAGAGTAAGACGATTGTAGTTGGTGGCATTAAGGATTCTAGGAGTTTAATCAAGCTTGGTAAAGCTTGCAAGGGAGTAGACCAAAGATGACGTAGGATTTTGGTCCGGGTTTCGGACCAAGCTTGCATTGTTCACGGCGATTAATTCATTGCCGCTTACCGCAACTCACCGCAAACCACTGCCTTCATCTACCTCTCACGTGCCAGTGCTCTTCTTCTTCCATCCTCTTTTCTTCTCTATTTCTCTTCTCACTAATTCTCTTATTCTCCAACACGTATCAAATTACCCTCTAATTAATTTACCAATTCAATTAATACTTTTTCATTGAAATTCTTTTAATCTTCATTACACGGAATAATTATATTGGTGTTACTCACACGGATATGTAGTAATAGACGAAGAGTGAGAGAGAAATGAAAACGATTTTGATAATACGTTTAACTAGACTGTAGATATATATGTAAATCTATGCAGATTGTTTGCTGACAAAAATCTCACGTATATTCCCTCTAGCAGTGACTCGAGTCTCTACTGGGCGTTTACTCGTGGTTCGTATAGTGGTTCAAGTAACTTTGGCATATAAATGTATGGAAAAGTACAAGAGAGAACAAGAGATGTTGTAGAGGTATCGTTAGAGAACCCTAGGGATGAATTAGGTCGTTAATGCTACCTCTTTGATATGCGAATTATAGAGCTATAATTTCCAGACAGCTAAGTTACTATATTATTCCCTTGAAAGTATATTCCGAATATGTCATGAGACATTTTATAATAATATAAATCTTCATTTCCGTTGCTAAGAAAAAGCATAAGAAGTTGAAGAAAACAAATATTTCATTGAACCAATTCGATGTCATTTCCACTTGTATTTGATGCTAAATCTTGAGAGTTAGTTCTACTCGGATGCAATTTACTTCTGAGGAAACTCCATCAATCAGCCGCTACGTACAGACGGTTTAAAAGCAGTCACTTGGGTGTCGTTGACGTGGGTGTTGGTGCTAGATGCTGATAAAGACAACTTCTCACACCTATGTCATCTGTCATGTAATTATATTATTTTTATTTCCTGCTAAAAGGCCAAATAATTTCCGTCGTCGAGTAAGAAGGACCATCAGTCAACTAGAAGGATTGAAAAAAAATATAGAATCTCATTCTTCTTTTTTCTATTGAGTGATACTTGTTTCTTTTGTTAGTTTTAATTCATTTCTTTTATCTTTTTCATTAGTGTAGGTAAGATTTTCAACTTTATTTTTTTTTACACCATTTTTTTCATTTGTATTCAGTTAATTTCTGTTACAATACAAAAAATTGGATATCGTATTTGAATTGAAATCAACAAAAAAAAGTATATTGATATAATTTTCTTTGCATAATGCATAACTATTTGACATAATTGTAATAGTCACGAAAGAAAAATTTCCAGTTAATTCAAAATAAAATGCTTCCAAAATGTAACTTAATATAAATTTCATATGAAATTGCTTTGAGGTAAATATATTATAGTAACTGCATACAATCAATATTATAACAAAAAAATTGTTTAATTTATAGCAAAATATATAGTTTGGGAATATCAATTTATACATCTGTGATAAAACAACAGAAAACGATCTAATATTAATAACTTCTTGGAGATTTTTTTTTTAAATTTCTACTTGACTTACCTCTTGTTACATTTTTAATGTGAAAGTCACGATGAAATATCTTATCTTTTCAATATTTTATTATAACTTTTATGACAAGTTATTCCGATAGTATTTTCTGAGTATATTATGAGTTATTGAATTGAAAGTGAAAAGTCAAATAATTTCATTTAGAATCGTAGTATAAAATCAAATTATTTCATTAGAATATCAACTGTCACGAAAGAATAGTTTTGAATATGATTCGACTGTAATTTTGCATAATTTTATCAAAAAGTTTAAATGACATTTTTATAAGAAAATAAATGAATAAAGGTTCTACTAATATTTTCTAAAGAATAATTAATAATAAAAATATCGAGCTATTTTCTCAATTAATTTTTTTCCTCCTAAATATATATACACAGAAAGAGAGTAAGATATTGGATGGAAATGATATCATTTATCAAACAATATTTGACCTCAGTAAAGTTCAAGATGATTTTTTATTTTTTTTATACCACATCATAAGGTTTTATTTACATGAGAATTTTTTAACTTATAATTAAATTTACATAAAATTAAATTCGTGCGTGGTTTTAATTAAAAATTTGACATTGTTTTTAAATATATAATTTGAATAATATTTACACACTCTTTTAATGTACATATTCTTACGTTACTAATTAAACTAGTATACAGTAGAGAAAGCCCTTTTTAACTTATCTCATATTTCTTGTTTATTTGAATAAAAACTACCTAGGAATATATAACAAAAGTTAAGTCAACAGTGTACTTCTTCTTCATAATGAAAACAGCTAGAGAATAATTAGAACTGTGACAATGTAGTTTAATAATTACAGTTATTAAATAAAATTTGGAGTTAAATCAAAATACAATGGTTAAAAAATGAGTTTTAAATGCTGTAATTTCTGGTAAAATAATTTTCATGTGGTACATAATTATAACCTTATTATAAAGAGTCAATATTTAAAAGACAACATGTGAATTTTTTTACTCTTTTATTATACACTTTTTTATTGGAATTATTATTCTTTCTTGTTATTTTTTATTTATTCTGGTTGATTCTTGTTTTTTTTTTATTCACTCTGAATGAAGTGCTTCTGTATGTATGAAGTTGTTTATAGAGAGTGAAAAAGATTGGATTATCAGATAAAAATAATTGGAATAATTGTGTGTATGGGATGTAAAAAAGTGAGGTGTTAATTTGAGATAAAATGACTTATGTATGCACATCTAGAACGATACACGAATTCCAATATAACAAAGCTGGCAGACGGGAAATGGAGTTAGAGGAAGTGAACGTCGGTGAAACCACAAAATGTGAGATGGGCGTTGGGAATACTAGACAGTTGGGACCATTTTATGCATACCAAATACATATCAGCCTATTCTGATGCATTGCATACACGGACAATTGATTTATAACCCAAACTGTCCTCTTTTCTCTCTCATAAATATAAATTTCTCACAAAAGTTATCTCTGATAAGTAGATCACGTTTTTCTAGCCTTAAAATTGGATTTTTCAACCTCCTCTTCATCTCTTTTACCATTCTCTTGTGCTATACAAAACTTTACATTAATCCAAAAAATATCATCATGAATGAATGAATGAATATAATATGAGAGTAACGTGAAAAAAATCAAAGACATTTCTTTTCTTCCTTTTCCAAGCTATTTGCCAAAAGCTCAATAAAATTTCGCGCATCTGCGGCGCCTTCACATATCATCCAAGTTCGCTTGCTATTTACCCCTCTCGACTCCTTTCCACCCCTAGGGGTTTCCAGCACCGTTACTTTCGCTCCCTTCTCTGCTATTATCAACATACCAATGTATATTTCTATATGTGTATATACATATAATCAAAAGTTATCAAGTTGTACGAGTATGAGTAAGGTATGCCTCTGTTATGTAGCACAACTTTGGTATAGCTACAGTTAAGTAGTGACGATGTCGTTTAGGTCGGACGCTCCCATGCACATTTGAGTAGTTGTGCCTACATGGCTTGGGCTAGTATGTACTAGGGATTGTTTTTACGACCCAGTTGCTAAGATTTATAGAGACATTTTACAAATTTTCTCTTTACTCCAAATTCTTTTAATATATCACTTGGAATCGTTTTTCAGTTTCCAATACTTATTCGTGGTCGTAAAACTGTTGAAAATATTTATTTAAGCTGGACTATTGATGTTTAGTTTCTTCCTAAAAGTCTGTTTACTCGAACTCTTGTCTTCAGATATGTCTGTTTACTAGTGCCTTTCATTCTTTTACTTTTACTATTGATACTTTTTCTACAAACTCAGGCGTCTCGTTACTGACGTCCGATTCTATTTACCACGTCTTGCTACTGTGAGGCCTTTTCTCCTTACACAGTCTGTTCACAGAATGTCGTTCTCTACTTGAGTCTTACTATTTAAGTTTTTTCTACTAGAGACTGTGTTTATTACACTTTTTATACTTGTGCACGTTGTTTGAGTAGTTTTACGATAGTAGATTAATTTTTCAAGATTTGTTGTATTG